TTTAGCTTCTGATCTCATTAAGTCTTTTGCCATCTGTGTCCCCTCCTCTCTTCACCTGGATGCCAGGCTCGGGGTGCGTTCTTGGTTTTGCCGCCTTAGCAGAGAAAGCCCCGCGCTTTCCTTTTTGAGAGCACGATGCACAGCGCCCCCTGGTGTTCACTGGCTGTCCTGGATGGGTACCACTCCCAGCCCAGCCCGCCCAGAGGATCCACGCTCAGGATGTCAGTCAGACTTGTTCGGAGCTGAGATCCAGAACTGAACATTGGTTCCAGATGTGGAGTCTTGGAGAAAGAAAAACATCCCATCAGAGGGGCAGGCTCGGGTACTCTAGGTCTGTTTATCTTCACAGATTAGGATGGTGGAGGTTGCTTTTGGTCAGTGGGCCCAGTTGTGGGAAGCTGGATGTGAGACCCATGTTCTTTTGTTCTTTTCAAGGATAAGCAGATCTCTCTAGATGATGGTTGCTAACAAGCCCATTTATTTATAATAGTCACAATTTCACAGATCAGTATATAATCACACGGCAGTAATGACAAGCTGCCATTTATTAGCCTTTCCAGTGCCAAGTGCTGTGTAAAGTGATTTATGTGCATTATCCCATTTAATCTGCACAATGATCCCATGAGTAAGTACAATTGTCATCCCCTTTATCATAGACCAGACAGGCTGAGCAACTTAACTAAGATCAAAAAGTAAGTAAATGGCAGAGATAGAATTAAAACTCAGGTTAAGAACCAAATGCGGTCAGGGTCGTGCAAGTTAAGCTCAAGATCACAATCTTATTTATTCTTATTTTTTGTGGTACTGGGAATGGAACCCTGGGCCTTGCACATGCTAGGCAAGTGCTATACTACCCAGCTACACTCGCAGCCCTAAGATCACAATCTAATACCATTTTGCATCCATTATATTAGCAAAATTAAGAAGATTGATTATATCAATTGTTGGCTAGATACAGAGCACCAGGACCGCTCATGCACTGCTTGGGACGAGGGTCAATGATGATCCACCTTGGAAAACAGGTTTCTTGTAAATCAGTGTTCACATTCCTCCAGTTCCACTCACAACTGTCCCCTTCTAGAGACTCTTGCACTTGTGCACCAAGAGACAGCAACAAGAACGATCACAGTGACATTGGTAAGAATAGCAAACAATTGTGTGAGTCGGGGACAGGTGGGAGTCAGAAACCACACCAGTTCTTTTTTTTTAATCACAGAGAATTTAATATAAAGAAGTGTTAACTAGGTATAGAGTTGTTAACTGGGTGACTGAAGACTATAAAAAGAACTTTAAGGTAGCAATTACAGGAAGCATCTACCACCCCCAGGGCTGAGGGAACATAGAAAAGAAGCTGAAATTATATGAAATTTAAAAAACTCAAGCCTGCTGTGGTGGTGCATGCCTGGAATCCCAGCAGCTTGGGAGGCTGGGGCAGGAGGATCAAGAGTTCAAAGCCAGCCTCAGCAATATCGATGCACTAAGCAACTCAGTGAGACCCTAATTAAAATACAAAAAAGGGCTGGGGGAGCTGGGGTTGTGGCTCAGTGGTATCCTCCTGCCTCGCATTCATGAGGCCCTGGATTCGATCCTCAGCATCTCATAAAAATAAATAAGTAAAAATTAAAGATATTTTGTCCATTTACAACTAAACAATAGTTTTTTAAAAGATGGGGGGTGGGAGATGTGGCTCAGTGGTCAAGTGCCCCTGAGTTCAATCCCTGGTACAATCCCCCCCCCCAAAAAAAAAAAAAAAAAACCTCAGAGGAGGAGGAGCCCTGTGGGGCCTCAGCTGGCTACTCTGCGCTCTGTAGTGCCCATGGGGTTGAGACCTCCACCCTGGAGAGGGCTAGTTCCCTGGAAGGAGGTGCTGCTATGAGGGGAAGCGGCATTGCTAGAGGTTGCTCTTAGGAGCAGGAAAGCCACAGGGAACAAAGACAGTCTTTCTCTCTCCTGCCTTGTGGTCTTGATGTAGGACAGATGAGGCTGGCCACTAAGAATTAGCAGGAAGCAGGTTTATTTAAGCTGCAGCAGTCCAGAGGGGCTCATGCCTAAAAATCTCTGGACCCTGAGCCTGAAAATTCTTGTAGATTTATACCCAGTGTGTGCATGGAGGTGGGAATTTACATAACAGTGGGTGGTTACATGAAAGTAAATTTTGTCCGGTATTCTTAGGCTAGACAGAGGTTTTCACAACAAAAACAGTAATAGTAATTTGGGGCAATGAGCTTGCTGGCAGATCTAGTTTTTACAAGAAAGAGAAACTGGGACTTTACAAGACAGAGGGAGCTCAGACCACACAGGGCTTTCTGCAGAACTGTGTTGACACCCTTGCAAAATCTTGGTGACAAGAAGCATAATTATGGGGAGGGTCGTTTTGGTGAGGGTACCTGGTAGCTACTTCAGTCTAACCCCACCCTTTTTACTGGCAAAAACAACAAAGCCCAACAGCAAGCAGCTGGCAACCTAGAAATGTGGTTGGCAGGGTCCCAGCCTCAGCAGCACAGAGCAGGGGTTTTTGTTTGTTTGTTTTGGTTTTGGGTACCAGGGTTCCAACCTAGGAGCACTTAATCTCTGAGCCACATCCCCAGCCCTTTTTTGTATTTTCTACTTAGAGACAGGGTCTCCCTGAGTTGCTTAGTGCCTTGCTAAGTTGATGAGGCTGGCTTTGAACTCACAATCCTCCTGTCTCAGCCTCCCGAGATGCTGGAGATTATAGGTGAGCACCACCACACCTGGCTGTTATCAAGTATTTTATTAACATCACAGGTTAGCCTGATTACAATCACTGTACTTATTATACATCCTCTGCACTCTGCTTCTGTGTGCAAAGGATTTACTTTTTCAAGTTGTAAGAACAATATTCTAACATGCAATTCAATGGTCAAAAACAAAAGCCTAGGGGCTGGGATTGTGGCTCAGCGGTAGAGCACTCGTGTAGCACATGCAGGGCCTGGGTTTGATCCTCAGCACCACATAAAAATAAATGAATGAGATAAAGGTCTTGTGTCCAACTACAACTAAAAAAATAAATATTAAAAAAAAAACACCAACAATTGGCTCATCCTAACACGATGATGTTTTTTAGTTTCACCTTTTGTGTTTGAGCCTTTATGACAGGCAGATATAATTTTCAAAGTCCTGATGATGCATCCCACACAATTGAGTGTCCTGCTATATTTTGAGCCTTGTTGCCTACTATTTCAGAGGTCATTGTCCCAAACCCTGAATGAAGGAAACACTGTTTTCTTAATGATTTTTCTTTGCTCCTTTGTATCCCTTGGGAGCATTCTGGTTGCATAGAAGAGAAGCAAAAAAAATATCAGCAATTCTCTCCCTTGTTCCCCCCCCCTTTCCCCTCACATCCTCTTCTATGTAATTTTGTGTAACATTGAGGGTCTCCTACCATTTCCATATGCTTTCCCTTCTCTCTCCCTTTCTCTCCCCCCACTCGTCTTTGTTTAATGTTAATCTTTTCCTCATGCTCTTCCTCCCTGTTCTGTTCTTAGTTGCTCTCTTTATATCAAAGAAGACATTTGGCATAGAGAGGGATGATGGGAGGGGAGGGGAGGGGGGATAGTAGGGGAAAGGAAAGGTAGCAGAATACAACAGTCACTAATATGCCATTATGTAAAAATGTGAGTGTGTAACGATGTGATTCTGCAATTTGTATTTGGGGTAAAAATGGGAGTTCATAACCCAATTGAGTCAAATGTATGAAAGATGATATATCATGAGCTTTGTAATGTTTTGAACAACCAATAAAAAAAAATCAGCAAATGTGGTTGGGAGTGGTAGTTGTGGAATTCACTGGAAAGAACTCACAAGCTAGGGTCCAAAACCAGGGACTAAAAGAGTCGGGGCTCCTCCTCTCTGTCCATCTCTATGTGGCCTCTCTCTGCTTCTATTTGTTGGGGTGGATATTGATGTCTGTCTAATTCCACCATCTTTCCTGCCCCCATGCTCCCTCTCCTTGCCTCCCTCCCCTTTGCCCAAAGTTTCTCCATTCTGCCCACGCCCCCTCCTGCCCCCCACATTATGGATCAGCATCCACTTATCAGAGAGAATATTCAGCCTTTTTTTTTTTTTTTACTTAGCTTGATATTCTCCAACTCTATCCATTTACCTGCAAATGCCATAATTTTATTCTCTTTTAATGCTGAGTAATATTCCATTGTGTATATATACCACAGTGTCTTTATCCATTCATCTATTAAAGGGCATCTAGGTTGCATCCACAGTTCAGCTATTGTGAATTGAGCTGCTGTAAACACTGATGTGGCTGCCTCACTATAGTATGCTGATTTTAAGTCCTTTGGGTAAAGACCAAGGAGTGGGATAGCTGGGTCAAATGGTGGTTCCATTCCAAGTGATTAGCCTCTTTCTTTCCTACCATAGACTGGTCTTCTCTACCTGCCAGGAAACAGGGCCCCTGACAGCCTCTGCTTTGTAATTGGAGCAACCCGAGCTTCCAGATAGTAATCCCAAGGAAGGACTGTGATTGGCTCTGTGGAGTCACATGCTCACCTATTCAACCAATCACGTTGTTAGGCCAACAATGAATCATATAATTGGCCAGGCCTGGTGACAGGCACATCCCCATGGCCAGGATGGCGACAGGGCCGGTGGTTATCAGGTGAAGGGGGACAGGAAGGCTTGCTGGGAAGACAGAAATGGGCCTCTAAGTCACTAGGTCTCATTTCCACCATGGCAACACCAGCTCGCCATTCTCGCACACCGACTCCCTTCATCGTCACTGTCGGTGGGAGACTCCCAGGGACGGGGTTCCTGCTGCGGCTGCCCTCCTGAAGCCGGGACACGTTTGCACGTTGCAGAATGTCCGCATCCTGCACTTTATTGATGCTTAAAACAAAACAACCAGAAAAGCCTCTGATAAGTGACAGAAAAGGGACCAGAGACAGAGTTGAGTGATGGATCCAGAAACACAGCAGATAAGGCCAGAGATGACCCCAGAACCCTGTCCAGGCTCCAGGCTCCCAGGCTCCAGGCTCCCGGGCTCCCCTCCAGAGCTCCCTCCCATACATCACAGCCAAAGTCCACACCAGCGGCAGGAGGGCCTAAGGCCAGTGCCTTTTCTGCCCAGTTACGGAAGGGAGCTTCGCCTGCTCTCTTCCCCTCGGAGGAGCTGGGCCAGCCCCCGCAAGGAGACCGGCTGGCAGCCCCGGCCTTCAGAGCCCGCCCGGGCTCTAGCAGGGCTGGTCCCGGCGCTGCACCGCGCCTCCTCCCATCGGGCGCTCTCGGCTCGCAGCTCCTCCAGGACCCCGTGAAGATGTCTCAGCGTGAGCAGAAGCTGCTGGTCTTGGATCTGCATCTCGGACTAGGGGAGAGAGAGAGAGAGGAGACTGTGAGGGGGTGCGAGAGTGCCCCATGTCCCCCTGACTGTCTGGGCCGAGGCAAGTCCCTAGCACCACCCAGCAGAAGCCATACCCACCGAAGCCTCAGTGTCTTCATCTGCAAAGAAGAAAGCAAATTACTTATATTCCAAGGCTCTTATGAGGACTGAGTGAATTCTCCACCCGAAAACAAGCTTTAGCATGTGATGTGTGAAACTCCACGATCGCCATCAAATCATTGCACAGGGGTTAAGGTGATCAGGGTTTCTTTCATATTAAAACAAAGTGAAGTCAACTCACCAGGCTGGAGCCCTTTGGAACAATGATTCCCAATAAGGTCTGGGTTCCCCGGTTCCCAAAATCCTTTTCTGGGATCAGCAAAGCCAAAACTACTTTTATTACAATACTAACGTTATTTCAGTTATTCACTTTTATGTTCTTATCAGTGAATGGTAGAGTTTTCTAGAAGCTATTACATGTACTATCCCTTTTTTGGGGGGAGGGGGGGTAACCAGGGATTGAACTCAGGGCACTTGACCACTGAGCAACATCCCCAGCCCTATTTGTATTTTATTTAGAGACAGGGTCTCACTGAGTTGTTAGCCCTCGCCATTGCTGAGGCTGGCTTTGAACTCGTGGTCCTCCTGTCTCAGCCTCCCAAGCCGCTGGGATCACAGGCCTGCGCCACCACACCAGGCCACATGTACTATCTTAACAGATTGGAGGCAGAAGCAGAGGAGAATCCAGCTGTCATGCAACAATATAAAATGATACCACACTTCTCACTAAATATCTGCTTCAAAAGATAGTTGTTTTAAATTAATAATATTTTATTAACATTTAATGAGTTTGTTATTTTTAAATGCATAAGTAAATAAATATTAAACATTTCTCCATTTCTTTTGTAATTTAGTCAATATTGATGGATATAATTCACGCACACAAGGGCTTCTTCTTGGTGTCCTTAATCATTCTGACAAGCATCGAGGGGTCCTGCTCCCTCGGACCCCAGTGCTGTCACTCACTCACCTCTGGCCTTCTCCCTTGTTCCCCTAAGAATTACCTTTTCATAAGTTTTTCTCTGCTTTACCTCATCATTTTAAATGTTCAGATTTTATTTTCTGAGTCAGTAATTTTTACACATGATACAACATTTAATAGCCACACAAGGGTATGTACAGTGGTCCCTGGGGGATTCCAGGTCACCAGGGATACCAACATCCAAGGATGCCCAAGCCCCTCATCTAACCTACACAGTCCTATGGCCTTTAAATCACTTCTAGAATAATTATAATTCCAAATCTAATGTAGATGTCGTGTAAATAGCTGTTATACTGTGTTCAACATCTCTAGCAATTAGAGAAATGCAAATTAAAACTATGCTGAGATTCCATCTTATTCCCGTCAGAATGGCAATCATTAAGAATACAAGCAGGACTGGGATTGTAGCTCAGTGGTAGAGCGCATGTGAGGCACTGGGTTCAATCCTCAGCACCATATAAAATAAATAAATAAATAAATAAATAGAGGCATTGTGTCCAACTACAACAACAACAACAACAAAAAAGGAACAATGACGAGAAATAAGTCTATATATTTTTAGTAGAGACACAGTTTTTCAATTGAATTCCATATTTTCAATCTGTGGTTAGTTGAATGGGTGTGGATGAAACCTGCAGATACAGAGGACCACTGTTGTTAAAAGTCTCGCTCCCACCCCACCCGCTCCTGTAGTTCAAGTCTCTTCCCCGGAGGCCAACACTGGGAAGAGTTCCCAGGCTTCGCTCTTGATTCTGGTCAAGGCATAATGTATGATTAGATATGCAGATTTACAACCCCTCTCTGTCTCTTTTAATAAGAGATAATTAGTGACATTATTTCTCTATTAAGAATAGTATTTTAGGGGCCGAAGAATGTAGCTCAGTGGTAGAGGGCTTGGCTACAGTGCAGGAGGGGCTGGTTCAATCCCCGGCATCACAATAAAATAAAGTAAGATTAAAAAAAAAAAGTATTTCAAGTCATCTCATACTAGACAAGGCGCCATAAACATACATTGGAGAGAAGATCATGTTTTCAACAAATGGTGCTGGGAAAACTGGAAATCCATAGTAACAAAGTGAAATTAAACCCTTATCTCTCACCCTGCACAAAACTCTACTCCAAGTGGATCAAGGACCTTGGCATTAGACCAGAGACCCTGTGTCTACCAGAAGAAAAACTAGGCCCAGATCTCCATTACGTGGCTTAGGAACAGACTTCCTCAATAAGACTCCTAAAGCACAAGAAGTAAAATCAAGAATCAATAAATGGGATGGAATCAAATTAAAAAGCTTCTTCACAGCAATCAATAATGTGAAGACAGAGCCTACAGAATGGGATAAAATTTTTGCCACCTGCATCCCAGATAGAGCATTAATTTCCAGGATAAATAAAGAACTCAAAAAAAAAAAAAAACTGACACCCTTGGGCTGGGGATGTGGCTCAAGCAGTAGCGCGCTCGCCTGGCATGCATGTGGCCCGAGTTCGATCCTCAGCACCACATACAAACAAAGATGTTGTGTCCGCCGAAAACTAAAAATAAATAAATAAATAAATATTTAAAAAAAAAAAAAAACTCTCTCTCTCTCTCCCCCCCGCCCTATCTTAAAAAAAAAAAACCTGACACCCCACCCCCCAAAACATAACCCAATCAATAAATAGGCAAAGGAACTGAATAGGCACTTCACAGAAAAAGAAAAATGATCAGTCAACAAATATATGAAAAAGTGTTCAACATCTCTAGCAATTAGAGAAATGCAAATTAAAACTATGCTGAGATTCCATCTTATTCCCGTCAGAATGGCAATCATTAAGAATACAAGCAGGACTGGGATTGTAGCTCAGTGGTAGAGTGCTTGCTTAGCGTATGTGAGGCACTGGGTTCAATCCTCAGCACCCTATAAAAATAAATAAATAAATAGAGGCATTGTGTCCAACTACAACCAAAAAAAGAAAAGAAAAGAATACAAGCAACAATAAAAGCTGGCGAGATGTGGGTGGGAAAGGTGCACTCATACCTTGCAGGTGGGACTGCAAATTGTTGCAACCACTCTAGAGAGCAGTATGGAGAGTCCTTTGAAAACTTGGGATGAAACCACTATTTGACCCAGTTATCCCACTCCTCAGTTTATACTCAAAGGACTTAAAATCAACATACTACAGTGACATGGCCCCATCAATGTTTATAGCAGTTCAATTCACAACAGTTAAGCCATGGAACCAACCTAGGTGCCCTTTAACAGATGAATGGATAGAGAAAATGTGGTATATATATATATATACACAATGGAATATTACTCAGCCTTAAAGAAGAATGAAATTATGGCATTCGCAGGTAAGCTGATGGAACTGGAGACTATCATGTTAAGTGAAATAAGCCAATCCCCCAAAACCAAAGGCTGAATGTTCTCTCAGATATACAGATGCTGACTCATAATAGGTAGGAGGGGTGGTGGGGAGGTTCATCAGATTGGACAGGGGGAGTTAGGCTAAAGGAAGGGGGTTGAGGATGGAAAAGACAGTAGAATGAATTGAACATAACTTTCCTATGTCCATATATGAATACACGACCAGTGCAACTCCACATCAGGTACAACCACAACATGAGAAGTTATACTCCATGGATGTATGATATGTCAAAATACACTCTACTGTCATGTATAACTAAAAAGGACAAATAAAATATTCAATGAAAAAGAATCAGTTTAATTTTTGTGATTACTTTACAAATGAGAAGACCGAGCCAGTGTCTGCTGCTCGAGCATTACTAGTACTGCCAGGAGGAAGAGAACCCTCGGGTGGAGCGTGGACTGTGTCCTGGAGAACCCTGGGATCCCACAGGCCACCCCCCAGTGGTCTAGGACCTTCCCTTCCCAACTCCCAGGAAAGCATTCAGGGTGTGTTTTCTCGAAGGATTTCCCCACACACATCTTTTTGTCTGAGTATGTACCCAGCATGGCAGAGATGCAGAGATGTGGGGGTTTTGTTTTGTTTTGTTTTGGATACTGGGGATTGAACCCAGGGGAACTTTACCACTGAGCTATCTCTCCAACCCTTTTTATTTTGAGACAGGGTCCAGCTAAGGGGCAGAGGCTGGCCTCGAACATGCAATCCTCCTGCCTCGGCCTCCTGGCATCACAGCAATGTGAAGGGAGGAGCCAGACACGATGCCTTTGACTTTGAGGAATGTAAACCTTGAGGACAGGCTGCCACAGCAGAAGTGTCTTCAACCTCTGCAGTGGATCTCTGTCCTGCTGCCACACGGTCGGGCACTGGGGCATCGAGCTGGTTTACCTTCTTGCCATGAATGCCTGTGGCTCTCTCTCCTCCTGGAGACCCACCAAAACTCTGGAGCTCACAGGATCCCAGGAAAAGAGGAAGAGCCCTGACTTTTTGCCTGTGGTGGCTGCTGACCATCTGTTCCCCTTGCTGCATGAAATGACAGTCTGGTGCAGGCCCTTCCCCTGACAAGGTCAAAGGGGCTTCTTGGGTGGGCTCCCAAGGAGCTCTTATGGGTTCATGTAAATTTCATATGATCAAGATGTCAGGGATTTGCAAGAGGAGGCTCAAGGGGCCTCTCATCTCTTGGCACCCTGGGGAGAAAGGGGCTTGGACCTGGGAGGTTCCCTTGCTTTTGTTCTATGGAGAAAACAGGCACTTTGGGTTCCGGCACCTAGCAATCTGACATAGGCACTCACCCTGGGGGACCCCGGGAGGCCCAGCGCCTGTGGATGTGAGAAACTGCAGTCCCCTCTGCTGGCTCCAGCTACTCCCTCTGAGGAGGAAGACAGGGTTAGGTCCCCGCTGGCCCAATCCCTAGCCACCCAGAAATGTCACAGGACAATCCTGTCTGTCCTTCCCAGGAGGAGAAGAAGTTGTCTTGGAATCCAAGCCCTCCCTGAGGTTCCCAGACCCGCCTCCTCCTCTCTCTCAGCTGGTGGCCCCCATACTTTGGAGCACTCCTTTATTTTTGTGTTGCAAAAACACCCAGTGAAGGGTATAAGGCCTAGCGTCCTGAGAGCCACCAAGCCACCAAGTAACATGACACACTCATTCAGGAGCCTTTGCACCCCGTGGGGTGGATCTTTACCCACTGGAAATGAGACACAGGAGATGTTTCCTGGAGAGAGAGATTTCCCCCCCTTTCTCTCTCTTCCAAGGTACAGTTTCTGAGTCAGCCCTGCAGAGAAGTCCTGAGCTGGTAGGCCACCTGCTGAGAGACCCTCGGCCTCCTTAGCCACTTCTGAAGTGGGAGCCAGCTCGTAACACCCTGCCCCCCCAGGAGCACGGGCTCTGGCCTGCATTCCTACTGCCATCCCAGTCCCTCTGGGCCCCTACCTCCAAACACCTTGCTAGGTCCTCAACTCCGAGCCTCTGCTTTCTAGAGGATCTGGGCTGAGACAGCGGCGTGCTCCATGTCAGGGTTAACAGCCCACATGGATGTGCCAGGGACACACCAGGTACGCACCTCCTATGTAGGCCGCGACCCACTTACCCTGGCCGGAAACTGCGATCATGCACCGGGTGGCTGGTCCCCACAGGGATGCCTGCAGCCTCTGCCCTGTCCAATGGGGCACCTGAGAGGAGGGACGGGAAACCTTGAAAATGTGGGGTGCGGGTGTCAGGGGGAAAGTCACGCAAAGCCTCACCAGCTCCCGTCTCAGCCATTCCAGGGTCTGCCCGAGGTCCGGGGTTGGCTCTCCAGCTGCCTTCATCTCCTTGAGAAGACCTTGATGATGATCCGGCTGTGGGCCTGAGGGACTTGTGACTCATAGAGTCCCCAACCTCCTTCAGCTGGCAGCAGGGTGGCCAAGTCACTCAAGATGGAATAAATGGGAGCAGGAAGCAGTTCACATGGGAAAGTGTAGTGTTTTTTTTTTTTTTTTTTTTTTTTAAAGGGCTTGAGTACTTTGCACAAACCGAATATGAAGGGAGGGGACCACCGGGGCATGAGTGCCTCCGTGCCTGCTGGTTCCAGAAGCCAGCGGGATGACAGGGACTGTGAAGCTTTAAAGCATAACAATAACAGTCATTTTGAAATAGGTGAAATAGGTGCTCTTGCCCAGGGCTTGTTTTGTGCTTTATATGCGAAGTATATGCGGGGGGGGGGGGGGGGAGGTATCCCACCTGTGGTCCAGACCCTCCCTCCCTTTTTCACTTATCCATTGAGTCTAGATAAAGGAAGATGTTCACGTCCCAAATTCCCTTACTTCTAAGATGCCTGCAAAACCCATTCCTAACAAATGAGACCAAAGCAGAAATTTGTCATTAGACCTTAGGAAAACCCTTCTACCTTTCTAACGAAAGGGAAAGTGTTTCTGATGTTTTCCCCTTTGCATTTACTTTCTCCCCCTTCCTTTTACCTTAAATGTAGACGTGATGTCTGGTGCTACAGCAATCATCTTGCAACTGTAACACAAAGGCCAAGAGAATTAAAGGGATTGGAAGTCATTGAGACATGGAATCAGCAGCAACATATATTTATTAGGTGAAAGAACAGACCCCATTTGTAACTGGACAGTCTACTACTTGGGGGACAAACTGTCCTAACTGACTTCCCAGATATTCTCACAGGATAATATGAAGTGGTTATTCTTTAATTGTCCCTTCCAATAAATACTTACTGAGTATCCACTCTGTGCCAAGTTCTGCTCTAGGCACTAGCCCAACACCAGAGGGACAAAGTCTCTGCTTTCCTGGAGCTGATATTCTAGCAGATTGAAACAAACAATAATCAAGCTAATGTTATCATGGAAAGAAATCAGACCTACTTTGATGTAGGGTCTTAAAAAATTCATTCTATCCATGTGAGCCAGGAACCCTGAGGATTGACACAGTCATCCCAGATAGCTGTGTTCTGTCTGTCACCCAGATCCCCTGGGGTGAGGGACAAAACAAATTCGATACGAGTTGGAAGGACTTTCCCTCAACCCCGGTGACACAAGAACCCCCAAATAAAGCTGCCTTCGGATGACAGAACCCACAGTGGACCAGAGTCAGCGGACCCCATCTACCGCCGGATCCAGTGCCTCTTCCCCCTGCAGATGAAGGAGATCAAAAAAAATATTCTGAGAAGAATGAAAGGCACACAAGAAAGAATCAAAAACACAGAAAAAGATGCTATTAAAACTTTTTTGAAATAGAACTCAATTGAATTCATAGAAGTAAAAATTATAGGAAGTGTTCATAAATGAATTTATTGTGGCCCCAGAAGACAAAGCTAACAGTGGGTAGGGGACATGGGGCACAGGCTGGGACCCAGCCGGAGAAGGCTGAGAGTTCTTTCAAGGACGCCATCAGCAAGCAGCAGCCTGAACCAGGAAACCAGGGAGACTTGAGAAGTGCCTCTGTGGGCCAGAGGTGCACCTGGGCTCCTTCCAAGCATCAGAACTACCAGGCAGAAAAATGGGTGCTGTACTGGGGGCCCTGGTGCCTGGGATCCAACCCGGGCTCCATCAGACTTTCTGTTCACAGCTGGGCTTTATCCTTTCCCTCTTCAGGCAAAACGTCTCTAAATAACTACTAACCTGAGTTGTAAGGAGCCTCAGGTTCCTTGTACTCTAGGATTTACAGCCTGAGTGCATCTCATTGCCACATGCAGACAAGATGCTATGTGCCAATTCTATTCTGGTTCAGCTGTCACTCTTCAGAACTGAAGATCTGAGAAACTCTCGCCGGCCCCGCTCACACCCCTTCTGAACACAGGGACTAGACATGAGCCCCTCCAGGTAGGTCCCCAGGCTTCGTTTCCTGTGGCCCTGTAGTCATGGGACAATTGCCTGGAGCAGAGGTGGGTGCTGCACACAGGTGGCCCCCACGGATTGGTCAGGAGGCAGACCCTGGGTTCTTGGGTGGCTTGTATTTGAAGAGCTGTGTGTCTGAGTTGGTAACCAAACGATCCAATCAGAGCTGAGCTCAGAGACTCTGAGTTTGCCACAGATAGTGAAGCTGGATTGTTACAAGAACACTGTATGTTGGTGCGGTGACACATACCGGTAATCCCAGTGGCTTGGGAGGCTGAGACAGGAGGATCAAGAGTTCAAAGCCAGCCTCAGCAAAAATGAGGCGCTAAGCACCTCAGTGAGGCCCTGTCTCTAAATAAAATACAAAATAGGGCTGGGGATGTGGCTCAATGGCGAAGTGCCCCTGAATTCAATCTCTGGTACCCACCCACCCCCCATAAAAACAAAACAGAATTAGAACACTGTATAACAAACCTCTCCAAAACTCCACACTTTCAAACAAAATAATCTCTGAATTACCTTTCTATTATTGTACCAAAATACCTGAGATAATCCACTTAAAAGAGGAAAGGTTTATTTTGGCCACAGTTTGGGAGATTTCAACCCATAGTTGGCCCTGTTGCCTGGGACTATGACAAAGCAGCATAATGTGTGCTGGAATACGCTGCTTACCTCATGGTTCCTGAAAAGGAAGAGGGGGAGGCGTGGAGGGAGAGGGAGGAGGGGCCAGGGTCTCACTATCCCCTTCATATGACTATAAGGCCCACCAGGCCCCACCTCTTGGAACCCAGACTATAAGAGGCTCCATCAGCTGGTTCAGACACGAGGCTCCGCAGGCGGGGGTCAAGTCGTGAACACGTGGCCATCGGGGGTGCTTCTCCAGCCACAGCCATGGTTTACTTTTGCTCGTGAGCGTGTGGGCTGCCTGGCATGGCTTTCCTCAGGCTGCCCATCGGCAGGTGTGAGGCTGCCCCACGGGTCTCTTGTCACCCTCCTGGAATCACTGGGTGCCTGGGACATGTTCCCCTCCTGACAGGGACAGAGAAGAAAGGAACAAGTGGAACGGCATGAGGTCACTTAGGGCCTAAGCTAGAATCACCTGCCTGCGGGCAGTGAGTCACATCACCTACCCCAAACCCGAGGGGCCAGGACGTGGGCCATCTACAAAGAGGTCGTGCCAAGAGAGCAGGTGAGGGAGAGGCAGAGCAGTGGGGCCACCCGTCCTGCACTGGGAGGGAAGTCAGCGCAAAGGGGGGCTGCAGGCCTGGAGGGACCCGAGGGAGGCTGGCCGACAGGGACCCCAGGGCAGGAGCTAGACGCAGGAGGTAGTGCCGCCTGGCGGTGGTGGGAGACCCAGGAAGGACGAGAGAGGGTGATCTGAGCACCAGGCTTGAAGGATAATTGAGGACAATCAGCATTTCTGGATGGCTTACTGTGCGCCAGGCGGCTTGCTGGGCATCCATGACCTCAGAGCATCTCCAGAACCTTTTTATGACTGCAGTTCCCAAACTGTGTTCCAAGGCACCCCCAGGTACTGCAGAAAACTCACAGAGGCAGAAAAAAACAGTTACATTTCTGAGGGAAACAAAAGGACAATCTGTCAGATGCTGTGCAAGCAAATATTACTAAGTTGTTTCAACCTAACCACTTTTTATATATGTCAGGTATTTCTTGGGGCCTGGCACAATGGAAAAGTTACTGAGATGAGGGTGGGTGAACTGACAACGTTGAGGATCCTCTGTCTCTGAGTTAGGCGCCATCATTATCTGAATATTAGCAATGATTACAGATCCTGCCATTTAACAGATGAGGAAACCGAGGCTTCAAAAGGCCCATATATATATTTTTTCTTTTGGTATCAGGGATTGAATCCAGGGGCACTTAACCAATGAGCCACATCCCCAGCCCTTTTTAAATATTTTATTTAGAGAAGGGTCTTGCTGAGTTGCTTAGAGCCTTGCTTAGTTGCTGAGGCTGGCTTTGAACTTGTGATCCTCCTGCCTCAGCCTCCCAAGCTCTGGGATTACAGGTGTGCGCCACCATGCTTGGCCCCAGGAGGTATGGATTTTCATAACATCATTCCGACAGGTAGAGACAAAGATGGAATTAGAACTCCTTCTCCCTCCCACTGTGGGGAGGGTCCTGCCTATTGTTCTACAGTGGTGGGGGGGCCAGTGATGGAGGGGTGCAGACCAGGCTCTACTGTTCTCTGCCCTGCATAGTAGAGGTGTTGATAACAGTCCTTGGTAATTAGAGCCTGGCCCTCTATGCTTGGCCTCCAGTGCTAATGCTAACTACGCTGGAAAGGCCATTTCTTGTGGTTAACTTGTTTTGATGCAACTTTCATTTATTTTTAATCATACTCTGGATTCTGGCTCAGAGCACAATTTTACTTCATAGACTCAGAAAGGCTTGGCACACAGAGATGATAGGGGTAGAGAGTGGAGCCAGAAGTCGTGGAAAGGGAAAAAATTTAAACCCATGAATGAGGAAGAATGCTACTCCAGCCTATGAAAGCCTGAATGCTGTCCATTCATCACCCGCAGTCAGCCAACAGTAAGGCTCCCATGCGCCAGACCCTGAAGTGCACACTAAGGGCGCAGTGATGAGCAAGAGAGACCTCACTCCAGACCTCACGGGGCTTGTCGTCCAGACAGTAAGAGGTTGGTTCAAAGATGAGGCTGTGTGACCCAAGCAAGTCAGCGGCCCTGGCAAAAATTGTAGGCTGCTCCTTGATATCACATCTCCCTTTCTGACATGGCAAAGACTACATTTCCCAGACTCCCTTGCAGATAAATGGGCCACGTGATTAAATCCTGGCCAATGGGATATGAATAGAGTTGATGTGTTCAGTTTCTGGGATGTGCCCTTAAAAAGATGGAGGAGGGTGACTCCCCATCCCAGTGTCCTCTCTCTGCTGACTCCAGTGTAGTGATGGGACCAGCTGGAGCAGCTGTCTTGACCCACAAGATGAGGGTGGCAGAAGACAGAAGGACCCCAGGCCCCTTGCAATCGCTGAGCCGCCATGTCGGCCTCAGCGACCAAGTAGACCTTTACAGGAGAGAGAAACACGATCTGTTTCATTGAAGACATGATTATTTTGAGTCTTTTTGTTTCAGGAATCAAATCAATGTCCTAACAATAGAGCAGAGTGCTAGACCAAGTCCATGATTTCCCATTCGAGTCCTTTCCATAATCCTCCTACCTAGGTCTTTAAGTGCTGTATTCTCTTCCAAGAGTTTTCTTGTTCATAACTGAATCTGGCCCTTAATACATGGCAGAGAGAGGACTCTTGGCTGTGACCAGATAGACAGGGAAACCAGGATGTAGCAGTGGTGGGTGACCTGTCCTGAGACACAAAGGCAGACTTTTCTCATCTCTCAGATGGGCAAGCAGGTCAGAGTTGTCATTTATCTCTGCCCTGTGTCTAGCTTCTAGGATTGGGGTCCTCCACATTTGGGGGGACCCTGGGCACCTTAGCCCTGATCCGCCTATAAAACACAAACAAGGTGGAAGTCTCACAGGGAGAAGTTTTCACATGGTGACAACCCCAGCCTTCCTGCCCAACCATCCTACCACGTAAGCTCGTGCCATCACGCTAACCAGAGGGACACAGAGACGAGTACCTGGGGTACTCAGGATTCCCAGCCCTACTTCTTTTTCTGTGGCTCTTCACCTCCTCCCCATAGGCCTTCCCTTTGGCCCAGACAGACAAGGCCAGTTGTCCAATCATTTGCCTTCTGACGATGCCCCATGTCTGTGTCTCATGGTTCCCTGCCCCTGTGTCCAGTAGCAAGTGCTGTTGGGCCCCATCCACATTCCTGCCACACTCCTCTTCTCCGCGTGTCCCTGGGGCTTCCTACTGCAAACACATCTGACTCTGCTTAAGGCACCTGCGTGACCTGTGCAGAGGACAGACTGAGAGTACCGAGGATAGCCCTCAACGATGACAAACAGGTCCTGCTGGATAAAGACCTCAGTCCCCTCAGCTCTCAGGTGGGACGTACTCCATCCAGCAGGACTAGACCCCCAGTTGCCCACGATGCTCACGTGCTTGTCAGTGCACCTGTAGCGAATTGGAGCTCCTTCCTTCCTGGTCTCGTTCTGCCGCCCCTCCACTCTGCTTCCTGGGATGACCTTCACATAAACCACCTGTGCTCAGATTCTGCCCTCCAGTCTGCTTCTGGGGGAACTCAACCCACAAGGTGTCTGCTTGGTCTCTAAAATTCACGTTGAGGGCTTAGGGCTGTGGCTTAGTGGTAGAGCGCTTGCCTAGCATGTGTGAGGCCCTGGGTTCAATCCTCAGCACCACATATAAATGAATAAAGTAAAGGTATTATGTACATCTACAACTAAAAAATGTACAAAAACAATAAATAAAATTTGTGTTGAAACTTATTTTTTTCCTTTTAGTCCTGTTGAAACATAATCTCCAGTGTAACACCTTCAAGAGGCTTGATCTGTGGGGAGTGATCAGCACCCTTATAAAAGGGCTCAAGGTTAAAGCGAACACACCAGGGCCCTTCTGCCTTCCAACATGTGAGGATACAGAACAAGGTGCCATCTGGAAAGCAGAGGGCAACCCTCACCCAACACCAACGATGGTGTCTCATCCTTAGACTTTGCAACTTTAGAACTGTGAGAAATCTCTCTCTTTATAAACCACCCAGTCTCAGGTATTTTGTTAGAGCAGCAAAAATGTACTGTAAGGCAATGTCCTGACTATATGTGCCTGAACATGAGTCCCCTGCTTCTCTTTCTGCACATGTCTATTAAGCTAAACCACCTGGGATGGTTTACTATGTGGCAATAGATAAACAGAGCACATATTTATCTATATAACACATAAAATTATGTCATATACCACTATTCTTTGCAAAATTCTGTATTAATTGATGTTCTAAAGTTCTCCAAGCAGACCCTATTCTCTGACAGATCAATGTCTCCACAGATATATAATTGCAGCTCATTTATTGAGGACTGACCGTGTGCCAACATGACCATAAATAACCTTCCACAAAGTCTGTTTTCTCTCTTGTCCCTTTGCAGCTGGGAGTAGCCAGGAGAATATTTTCATAATCCAAATATGACCAAGTCACTATTTTATTATATTTTATTTTTGGTACCAGCAATTGAACCCAGGGGCACTCAACCACTAAGCCACATCTCCACCACTTTTTTTCATTATTTATTTAGAGACAGGGTTTTGCCAAGTTGCTCAGCGCCTTGCTGTTGCTGAGGCTGGCTTTGAACTCACGATCCTCCTGCCTCAGCCTTCTCAGAGGCTGGGATTAGAGGCGTGTGCCACCATGCCCAGCCTGACCACATCACTCTAAAGCTTGTCACCCACTGCAGTGTCTACAAGGGAATCTTCTTAGGTTCAACTACACACAGACTCAACAGGTGACCAGAAGCCACGCCTGGTTTTAGCCTACTCTGAGAAAGTGAGAGGGAGACCCCAGCTTGGGAGCTCAGCCAGCCTGCCATGCCACCAGGTGCTTCCTCAAGTGGAAGGCCTTGCTGTGCCCAGCAGAGGGCGCTGCCCGGGTACAGGATGGACTACCCGCTGGGCAGCAGCCGGCCCCATCCTGGCTTAACATCTCAAGTCCCATGGGAGCCAATGTCTTTAGACCTGTCCAGTTATGAGTCACCATGTTCAGGAAGCCCAAAGTATAATTCCCACCAGGTATTTATAGTTCTCTCCAGTTGTTAAAAAATGACAACTTAATTTTTTTTAGAACAGTTTTAGATTTACAAAAAAAAAAATCAGGACAACAGTGCAGAGAGTCCCCTGTATCCTACCCCCAGAGACCTCGGTCATTAGCACCCTACACTAGTGTGGCGCATTTGTTTCAATGAATGAACCAATGTGGATACATTGTCCTTAGCTAATGCCCACATTTTATTTGGATTTCCCTAGGTTTTATCTACTGTCCTTTTTCTGTTCCAGGATCCCACTGAGGACACCGCACTGTATTTAGTTGTATGTCTCCTTAGGCTCCTCTTGTCTGTGACAGTTTTGCAGACTTTCCTGGATTTTGATGCCCTTGACAGTTTTGAGGGGACTGGTCAGGTATCTCGTCGAATGTCCCTCAATGACATTCAATTGGTCCTCAATGGCATTTATCTCATGATTACACTGGGGTTATGGATCATGGAGAGGAAGGACATAGAGGTTGAGTGCCATCTTCGACACATCACATCAAGGGTGCATACTATAAGGTGATTTGACAGTTGATGTTGACCTTGAGCACCTGGCTGAGGAGATAGGGTTTGTCAGGTGTCCCCAACCCCCTTCCACACTGTACTCTTGGAAAAGAAGTCACTATGCACAGCCCACACTTAAGGATCACAGAGTTATGTGGTCCTTATATATTAGGAGTTGATAAAGGCTACAGAGAAAAATCCAGAGGAAGAAGTAAAGGTGCTGTCCCCATCTTTGAGGACCAAGGATCTACATATTTAGAATTCCGCATGGGAGATTTATCTCTTTTCCTCACTTGTTTATTTTTTTTTCAGTTATTTGTATCAGCATTGACTTACGGATTATTTGTTTCATACTTCTGGTTGCAATCCAGTATTGGTTCATTTATTTTTTCCAGTTTTAGTTATTGAACTTCTTTTAGTTGGCCTATGTCCTTTGACACACCCCCATCACTGTGTGTGTGTGTGTGTGTGTGTTTAGCATTTGTTTTCTGGCACTATAAGATGCTCCAGGTTCATCTTGTACATTTCATGCCCCATTTCTCCAAGGAGCCCTGGCTCCTCTTGCTGGCAACTGGCATCGGGAACCAGGATCTGGGTGCGAGGTGAGGTCATTGCTATGGAACACCACTGCTTCTAGGCCTCTCAACTGACAGAGCAAGGAAATAAATATGCATATACTAATCCATGTTATATAAATGTCTATAAATATGTCTCATGTAATCATCTTCATCTATATTAAGCCAAGCATGAATTCATATTGATGTGTCCAATTCTAATCAATTGCTGTATAGATCATTCTAGCCTCTTTCTTGGGGGTCATTTTTACCATGGACAATGTTGCTCAGTAACACAGCAGACATAGTATTTTTTTTTAATCTGTTTCCAGGAAACAGCTTGACAATTAACCAAAGGTCAAATTCACATGCAACAGAGGAAGAGGTTTAGTTAACCCTGTCCACACACTCTTCAATATAGCTCTGAGGACAAAGAACAAACTCTGGCCTACAGGACTTCCCAGAAACCTGGCCTACTGACGGATGCAGTCTCATCTCTACCACATTCCTAACTGAGCAGTCCACATAAGCCACATCTGTCTCCTTCAGCCCTCATTCTTACTGTGCTGCCTTCCACCCCAGGGCCTTTGCCCATGCTAGCCCTCTATTGGACCTCTCTTCCTTGCCCTCTCTACCCAACTGTATCTTCTAATCTGGGCTCCACCCTTGCTTCTACAGGGGAGCTATCCCTACCCCCAAGGGTCAGCATCCTTGCTTGAGGCTTTCACAATGTCCCTTTGCTTGGTAGCACTGACTACAGCTGCAAGGTTATATTTACTTATCTAGAATATGGGCTCTTGAGGATGGGGTAGGGTTTACCTAGTTCACTAGTATAGAATAGGTATTCAATAAAATACTTGCTTCTTTTATTTGCTCTTTAGTTAAAAATTATTTATCAAGAGGCTTCCGGGTGTTGGTGTCTTTTCTAGTCTCTGGGGATACACCCATCAGGGAAACAGGCAAAGCCTCCACTCGTCTTTGGACACTCGTGTTTCCCTGGTGACAATAAACAAAGAAATAAACTAATATCAAGAGTTAATAAAGGCTACAGAGAAAAATCCAGAGGAAGAAGTAAAGGTGCTGGGGCACTAGAATTTTTTTGAAGGATGGCCTGGGTAGGTGAAGGGGACATATGAGCAAAGACTTAAGGGAGGTGAGAGGAGTGAGTACTGAGGATATCGGGAAGAAAATGTCCCAGGCAGAAATATTGGCCGAGGTCCAAGCTGTGTGGTAAGACTGTGCACCACAAGGGAGGAACCGGGTGACTGCTGCAAGGAAATCTTTAATTCAACTCCCATTCCCTTGCTGAGTCCATTTCACAGATGAGAAAACTGAGCTCTGAGTGGCAGAGCTGGGATTGCATTGGTGTGTGGGTGCCAGGGCTGGCTTCCCTTTGAAGACCCTAACAGTGGGCCAGGTCTCAGGACTTCTTGGCAGGAGACAGGCCTTCCCAGGCCCGGGGACTCTGCATAGGCTATGCTACCCTGGCCCCAAGAGTCCAGGGTGGCCTCTGCTCTCCTGGTGGGTGAAGACTGCACAGGCCTTTGGATGATGATCTGCTCATGATGAAGCAAAGGAGCCAGGACAAGGGGTCCTCATTTGCAGTCCTCCAGAGCCCCAGGAGCCTGCATGGTCATGATGCCCATGGACAGTGGGGAGCACTTGAGGCTCAGAGAGCCCCCTCCCCCAGTCTTCTGGAAATCCCACGCTTCTCAGACCAAACCTCTCTCTGGGCTTGGCCTGGCCCCCAAGAGGAAGTGCCAACTTGAGTTTTGTGAAGGAGAACTTCACTCAGCCCATCTTAATAAGTCTGGGCTCAGTAAAGGACAGAAGCTGAGGAAGTCACCCCACTCCTTAGCTGTGCACCGCACCCACACACCGGGTTCTGGGGGCTCAGGCTTGGACCCTGCTCTGCAGGAGTTGTCAGTCTGATGGAGGGGGCTGCCCTGAACTAGAAAATCACGCCGGTCAGAGATCAGAGTTCTCCGGCAAGCAAGGGCAGAGATCAGATGGAGGGCCCCGGGGACAGGCTGCGTGTGAAGCAGCCAGGTAGCCTTCCCGGCGGAGGAGGCGCTGCAGCTGGGCCTTGGAGCGCGAGGGTGTGCGCAGCCTTTAGCAGTGTCCCAGGAGCCCATCCCTCTTGGGCAGCGCACTACGTGGTCCCACAGAGAAAGAAGGGTGGGAGGCCTCGCCAGGGCTTCCTTTCAGCCTCTAGGTGGCGCCTTTGAGCCGCCGAGCCTCCAGCGCCCGAGGAGACTACGGACCTGCAGACCTCAGAGGGGACCCAGGGTCCTACCTGGGGCCGGGTGTTGGAGGGTGCGGGGGTCGCTCCTGGCTTTGGCGCAGTGGGGGCTCCCCAGCGGCGGGGGAGGGGTCTTCTCCAGCCCCTCCCCCCGCCCCGCCCCCGAGCCCTGGGACCGGGGACTCCAGCTCGGGTTCCCGCAGCCCAGGCGCGGGCGGTACAGAGGTGCCCTAAGGGGAGGGGAGAGGAGGAGGATGGACTGGCACCCCCCCGCCTTCGCCCCCGTCCCCCACCCGTCTCCCGGTCCCTCCCCGTGCTAACTCTCCGGGCGCCCTCGCCGGCCAAGGGCGGAGCTCGATCCGCGGCGCCGGAGAATCCCGGCTCCCGCCCCTTCCCTGTCGCTACCTCCCCGGACCCCGCCACCCCTCCTCAGCGGTCGCCACCGCCGCGGTGTAGCCCCGCGCGGCGCGAGCAGGTATGTGCTCCTCGCCGGGGGCTCGGGCCGGGCGGGAAGGGGGCGGGAGCCGGGGAGGACCGGGCGGCGGCGGCCAGGCCCGCGCGCTCCCGGGCTGCGCTGCAGCCGAGCCCCCGGCCGGCGGGCTGGCGGGCGGCTCCGGTCGCGGGGAGGCGGGCAGGCGCCCGGGAGGACGCACCTCGCCCGCTGGCCTCCCGGCGCCCTTCGCTTCCGCGCGGGGAGGCAGGGGAGGCCGGGCACAGGTACGCACGCCGAGGGGGGCTGCGGGGGCGGCCGGAGGCTGAGGCCGGGGCCGGCGCGTGTTGGCGAAGGACAGCGAGCCTGACCTCGCGGCCCGCCGAAGGACAAGCGGCGAGGGGACCCGGGCACGCCAGCGCCGGTGCAGCCCGGCCTCCCCGGCCGCCCTGCTGCGGGCGCTGCCCGGCAAGGTCTGGCCTGGGCCGCCCGCGGCGTTCGCGGTCAAGGGCAGGAGCAGGGGGTGTGAGCTGCGGGTGGCGGGCGCGCGGGCGCGGTGGTCGCCCAGCTGCCGGGCTTCCTGCGCGGAACTTTGGATATAACAGCGTGGACGGCGTGTGCGTGTCTGCGCGCCCCGAGGCTTTGTGTACAACTCATGCGTGTGACTATCGATTGGGTGTTGTGGAGCTTCACCCATCCTCGCTGTGCGTCCGTCTCCCTGGGTGTCAGTGTGCGCCACGGGTGGGGTGCTGGGCCCAGGCAGGTCTTAGCAGATCAGGCTTGAATCTCAGCAGCCCTACGGGGAAACTCTCCATTTCTTTTCTGTCTTTTCTCCCTTTCTATAACCAGTTCTTCCCCCTCCGGGGTACCAGAGTGACCTATGGATCTGTGGGTCACCCTGCTCTTACTGGGTCTGTGGGGACTGCTGTGGGAACCACCCCCAGGGGATTGAATATGGAACTGGGGTGTGTCTTTCAGGGCCTGTCCAACTTCAGATGAAATTGGAGTAACTGGTGTGATTCTGGGGTACAATCAGTGGGTACAATATTTGTGTCTGTGCTTATGTTTGGGTCATTGCACATGGCCTTGTGGGCTTCTGAACCCCTGATTTAGAAACAGTGACATTCTGATGCTGGGGGTGGGTCTTTTTTCTCTGCCCCCACACTGGGCATCCTAAGGAATAAGTTTCGGGTTTCCTGGTGGGTGAAGGAGAGTCCCTTATCAAGAATTTGGGTGCCTCAGATTTCCTCTGGGACATGGAGTCATCAGTGTGTCCATTTGGGAAAGGGATTCCTGGGCCACTCCAGGAGCACAGTTCTGTTGAAGGTGCTGATGGCCTGGTGAGTGGGTACCACATCTGAAGACCAAGTAGCACCTGCTAGGGGCCATTTGTGGCTTTTGGTGTTGAGTAACAAGCCAACCAGTGCTTCTGTCCTCTCTGTCTATTCCTTGGGAAGTGACTGGGTGGGCATCTGGGGACCCAGGTGAAATTCAGAGGTATCACTGCCCTCTGGATGCTCATGGTGGCTGTTAGACGGTTGGACCAAGTGGAGGGTCTGTGTGTTCCTGCTGGAAGAGCCAGGGTAGGAGTGTGGGGTGTCACCACCTGCCTAGGAGTGAGTGGCTTTGAAGGATTATGGGGGAGGATAATTCTTAAGAAACCTGCATTCAATTCCTGATCCCTCAAGTACATGTGATGGAATCTAGGCCTTGTTTTATAAGTTGGAGATAGTGATTCCTGATCCTGGGCTGAAGACGATCATGGGTGATACTTGTAAGTGAAGTGCCCGGTACAGGGCCCAACAGGTAGTGGAGGCTCAGTAAGCATTTATAAAATTGGAACTCTAGAAAGAGGAATGTAGTATAGAAATGGGTTGTGAGTAGAAAGAGGATTTGTACTCAGATGAAAGGCCCTGTATGTGCTAAAGGGAGATGTCTGTTGTAAGTCCATATTGGAAGGAAGGTCAGAGAGATTGAAAAATGTCCCTTTTGTGCTGGACCCTTGGAGTTATATTCATCCATCTGTTCATTTCATTCATTCTTATTTCATTCATTTGCTCATATTCAAAAACACTCTCCACACATGCAGAACCGCAGGGCATCAGAGAATAAACACAGCCTACGAATGCAGAGAAGTGTGTTTATGAGTGTGTATATAGATAAATTGGAGCTACTTTGCACCTGTGGGTCTCTGTGCCATGTGGGGATTTGTGTGCCTGGCCCCCTGGGTGCATGTACCCTCAGGTTATCAGCTTGTAAACAGAAGAGCATGATTCTCCTGTGGGATCAGGAAGGACACATGACAGCCAAAGAAGGGGACTGAGGCGGAAGCTGTGGGAGAGAGACTTGCTGTGCCTAAGAGAGGACCCCATTACCAAGACAAGCAGAGAGTTGGGAGGGGATGGAGACCTGGGATGCCCAGATTCTTCAATTTTGCAAGAGAAGCCAGTAATCCAAAGTTTAAAATGTCAACCTTTTGCTTTTTTGGGTGTTGGCAACAAATGCACCAAAAACAAATGAAAAGACCAGAAACAAAGCAAAGCAGAACTTTTGCGAGCCAAATATGGCCCTGGGTATCCCGGGATGGTAATGCACATGTTCTGTGTGTCTTTATGTATGGTGGTGTTCAGGTCCTTGGTGGGGTGTCTCCTCTTTGCAGCCCAGAGAGTACCCCCTTCTCACCTTTCTCTCCCAACCCTCCTGTCCAGGCCTCCCCTGAGGCATTTGACTTTGACCTCAGTAGTGGCTTTCAAGTCCGTCCCACTTTGCCCCCACCCCCAGCCAGTCCCCACCTGTTGGCTTTCTTGCTGGATGCTGTTACCTTCTGGACCATCTGTCTTGGACCCCTGCACACCCCAGCACGACCTGCTCCAGTACCTGCCTGCCTATTTCTCCCTGGCTCCTTGGCCTGGTTTTCAGAGTCTTCCATGAACTAGCTCCTGCTGACCTCCAAGGCACCCCTCTCTCTTCCAGAATGCCCTCACTCCCCTCACTGATGTGGAATTTCCCTTTCTTCCTCTGAATCTGGCTTTCAAATGCCACCAACTCCTGGAAGCATCCCCTCCTTTCTCTTCTTGGTCTCCACCATGACCCCCGCCCCCACTCCCATCCTCTTCCTAACGCACAACAGCGCCCACTTCTTCAAGTGGCCAAGGCCTTGTGTGCATTATTTTTTAAACATTTTTTTTAGTTATACATGGTCTTTATTTTATTTATTTATTTTCACATGGTGCTGAGGATTGATCCCAGTGCCTCACATGTACGAGGCAAGCGCTCTGCCGCTGAGCCCCAGCCCCAGCCCTTGTGTGCATTATTTGATGAAAGCTTCACAACAACCATTGGGGGGAGCATTTGTTTATTCCCATTTTACAGGTGAGAACAGTGAGTCTGCAGAGGAGCTTGCATCACATGTCTAAGCTCAAGTGGTGAAGCTGGGATTTGAACCTGATAGCCACTCAGTCTGAATTTCTCCATCATGGTAATGGCTCATCACTAATGCTTACTGGGCGCGCACTTACTCTGCTGAGTACTTTATATGGGTTGTCTCAATCCCTGTTTAAGCCCTGTGAAGTAGGAGGAAGTGGTAGTATTGTCATTTCATAGGTGGGGAAACTGAGGCCCAGAGAGCCTAAGTGAATTTCCCACCAGCCAGTGATGGAGCAGAACCCTAGCGGGGATCGCACTGCTCTGTCATTGTCCCATTCCCTCTTTGGTGTGGTGAGCTCCCCCAGTGGGGGAGGGGGGCTGTGCCCAGAGGTCAACTGTGGCACAGGCAGGGACTTGGTAGAGATTGGTTAAATTCAGCTGACTTTCTGTTTTCTCTTCTAGCTGCCAAGGGGCCAAGGGATGAGCTGGGTCCCTCCTTCCCAATGGCATCTCCCCCTGGTCTGGAACTGAAGACACTGAGCAATGGTCCCCAGGTCCCAAGGAGACCCGCTCCTCTGGGCCCCGCGGCCCCATCCAGGGCAGGCGTGGAGAATGCCGGCTTCTCCTTGGAGGAGCATGAGACCCGTTTCCAAAACCCCAGGGATGCCAGACCGGACAGCTCCCCCAGTCCTCTGGGGGGCGTCCCCTCACTGCCCCGGTCCCAGCGGGACGACCTGTCCCTGCGTTCAGAGGAGGGGCCGGGCCTGGAGCCGGTGAGCCGCCCTGTGGATTATGGCTTCGTTTCGGCCCTGGTTTTCCTGGTGACTGGGATCCTCCTAGTGGTGACAGCCTACGCCATCCCCCGCGAGGCCCGCGTCAACCCGGACACGGTGACGGCGAGGGAGATGGAGCGGCTGGAGATGTACTACGCCCGCCTGGGCTCCCACCTGGACAAGTGCATCATCGCGGGCCTGGGGCTGCTCACGGTGGGCGGCATGCTGCTCTCCGCGCTGCTCATGGTCTCCCTGTGCAAGGGAGAGCTGTACCGCCGGCGGGCCCTGGTCCCCGGCAGGGGCTCCCGGAAGACTTACGGCTCCATCAACCTGCGCATGAGACAGCTCAATGGCGACGGGGGCCAGGCCCTGGTGGAGAACGAGGTGGTCCAGGTGTCAGAGCCCAGCCACGCCCTCCAGGGGTCTTAAGGAAGAGCCCCTCCTTTCCGGCTGCCTTAGCTCCGGGCTCCGAGGCCCCCAGAGGCCTGGGGCTTCAAACTGAGCTCCCCAGAAAGGGCCCAGTGGAAGGGGGCTGGGGGTCTTGGGTGCGGAGGCGAAGCCCAGGGCAGCCCGCTCAGGCAGGTTCTGCAGTTCAAGGTCTTGCTTAAGGTTCTGTTGCTAAGAATACAAAGTTTGGAAAGCCCTGCTCTTGGAAGATGAGGTGGGGAGCCATGTGAAAGGTGGCTCGTCCTGTTCTTATGCTGTGGGGAATTCTGGGACCTCCACTGTCCTCATGGGCTAGCTGAAGATGTTGGGTGATCTTGGAGGGGGCACCTTTGAGCTCCGACCCTCTAAGGTGGGAGGTGGTTTCATGGTGAGGGGAGAAGCCAGCACTCGGTGACCCCCCTGTTGTATCCCAACTGACTGAACGGTGACCTTGTCCTCTCCAGGCTTCAGTGGCTCTGTCTGTAAAGTGAGGGGTTGGACTGGATGATCTCTCCGGCCATTTCTGCCCTGGAAATGGGAACCCGGTCTTTGCCTCTGGCCACCCTTTGCAGGAGGAGGGTGTCTGCCAGGCACTGATCCTTCTCCATGCCATTTTCTGGCCTCTCCTCTGTGACCACCACTGTCAGGAAGCCAGCAGCTCTCACTGTCCTGCTGAAGAGCGCCTTAGTCAGTGTGGGTCAAACCCACCGTGTGCCACAAACCTGCTTTTGGTCTGGGGGTCTAATTTCCTGTAGTGATTAATTTTCTGTGGTAGCACATTTTGCAAAGTTAGAAGTGCTGTTTCTACCCCTTCTTGGGGATACAGAGAATCTTTCAGAAAAGAAAGTGTGATGACTTTGTGGTATCTGATGTGCCCTTATTCACCAACCCTCCTTAATAGCATTGTCTCTTGGGTCTGACCTCATGCTAATTGCAGAAAAAATTTTTTTTTGTTTGTTTTAAACACTGAGTTTGTCACCTCCCACTTACCCTCTCACTAGTCAAGTGTAGCCACAGTTGATCTGGGGGGAGAGCAGGCATGCTCAGTCCCATTGGTGAACATTTGTTCTCTTTGGCTTGCGGAATGTTTCCGAGCTCCTTCCATACTTTCTAAACTCTTGATGAGACAGGAACAAGGAGATACAGGCATTTGAGAATTTGGGGGAAGGCATCGTTCAGCCCAAATGGCTCTAGGGGGCTTTGAGAGTACCCGCCTTCTTAGGCCACTGGTATGAAGACTCTAAGGGGTCATTTCCGTGAGCCCACTGCGGCTGAGTGGGTCCACTTACTCCGTGTCAGTTGGCCATGTGGGCTGGGAATTCTCATTGTCTGGGGGGTGGGAGGATGGGGTAGGCGTGGGGTCTCTAGGGGATCGAGGGCCCCTGATTACCGTAACAGGAGCCTTTAGTCCAGTGAGTGGAACATCTGGGCAGCATGAGATCACAGCTTCTGAGACGGATCAAATATCTGCCCCTGTTGGCAGTTTCTGTCAGGAGAAGGGGGCTGGGGAGGGCTGGAGAGGACAAAGATCCTTTAGCTTGGCTTCCCAGGTTCTGTTGGGGTGTCACAAAGAACAAAGGCCAAGATGGTGAAAGGGTCACCATCCCCTGGGCTCCCGCGGATGTGTCATCTCTCCCAAGTTCCAAGCAAGGAGAAGCCACAGAAGGTGGTGAGCCAGGCAAGGTGAACGACAGTAGGATTGGACGCCCCAAATGATGGGCTGAGGCTTTTCAAATCCATAATGATAATAATAAAAATATCAACCCAAGCCCTGTGGATTACGAAGACAGTGGGGGACTCATTTGGTTACTAAACCTGTTGAGAAGACGCATCTGGGACCATCAGTTCCTATCAGTTTAAATGCAATGAATTGTATTTAAGGGATAAATGTAGTAGAAGATTAAATCTCAGGTTTTCTCCAAGCCAGAGAAGTCCGCTTTGCATTCTAATGTGGAAACTCCTTTAGAAAACGTTTGTAATGGAGCAAAGCAATCATTACCTTGTCAGCAAATTAAGAAAATTCGAGAGATGCCAGAAACATTTCCTCAAGATTGCAGCTGAGATCTCCTCACCAGTGGGTCAGAAACAGGTTTAGGAAGGAGTCGAGGGGGTGGGGGTGGAGTGCTGAGAATTTTCTTTGTAAGTTCCTAGGGGCCAGGTGTGGTAATATCCCAGAGGCCCCTGTGGTTGTTGGAAGAGGCCCTCCTCACCTCCAAGGACTTTTCGCATCTGAAAGCTTTACTAGGGTCCCCCAGCCTTGCTTGTCCTGGGGTATCCGAACAGATAGCAGTTTTGGAGTTGGTAAGACCTGGGTTGCATACAGGCTGTGCCATTTACCAGCTGTGTGACTTTAGGTAAGTTACTCTACCTTTCTGAGTTTGGGTTTCTTTGCAGAGTTGGTTTCATGAAAACGCTGCCTGGTGGGGGTGGTGCAGATCAGGATGGCCACTGACAAGGACACTCTCCTTCCGACCTGGACTGGCGCTAACTCTTTTAGGCCTGAATCATGGGGGTGGTGGGGGAGGTCAACCCTTCTTCCTCGTGCATCTCCCACCAGCAGATATTGTCAGATCCACTTTCAGAATGTGATCTGTGTTCATCCGTCATGTTGGTCACTGGTGTCTGGCTTTCTTTCCTGACCGTTCCATCCCCCCAGCTCATCATCCAGTTGGCAGCCAGAGGAAGCCTGTTAAAAGGTCTGGTCACTCCTTCCCTCAGAGCTCCCCTCCATGTCCCCATCATTCCACACAAAGGCCCCAGTTCTCCCCACAGCCAGAGGCAAAGCCTGTGTCCCTCTCCTGCGTAGACCTTCCCAAGGCCCCAATTGCCTTTTGTATTTGCAATCCTGATTAATTTTTTTCCTTAAGGATGGCCCCATAAAGTCCATAAGCTGTAGGTCCCCCAGACCTGCATCGGTTCCCTACAGTGGCCTCAAGGCCCTACACTGTGTGACCCCTATGCCTCTCCAACCTCATTTCCCTCTAGCCACCATCACCTTGCGGTTCCTCAACCTTGCCTGGCACTCCCACCCCAGGGCCTTTGCACTAGCTGCTTCTCGGCTTGGAAGGCTCCTCCCCTCAATACTGCAAGCCCCACTCCCTCACCTCCTTAGGGGTTTCTGTAAACACCACCCTCTCATGGACACCTTTACTGGCCCCTGTGTTTAAAACCACACCCCATACCCCTCCCTCACTCCCTTTTCTCCTGCCTGCTTTATTTCTGTCCAGAGCAAAGCATTGATCGCTACCCAGCAGGCTGTGTCCTGTTCTTATTGACCGTCTGTACTCCCCATTCCTCCCCTGCAGGATCGCAGGCTTCACGAGTGCTGGCATTTTGGTCTAACCAGTTCATGCTGCGCTCACACTGTGACCAACTGGTTGGTGCACATAGTAGGTGTTCACTGATGAAGGGACAGATGAATGTAACCAAAGTTCCCTGTGCCTGCCAGGGAATGCAGTCCCTGCATGGGACCCAGGGTCCTGCAGTCCCTGCCCGGCCTCCTGGAGCCCTGTTTAGGGCTGAGATTCAGGGATGCAGAAGACGGCCTGCCCAGAGTGTTCAAGGGCCTTATTTTGTCACTGGACCCTAGGAACCCATCTGCCTCCCCCTCTCTGGGTCTTGTACAGCTGTGTGTACCAAGGAGTCAGAGGGGCTCACTGATGAATGGAAACCCGGTGTCTGCCATCACCTGTGCCCACCCACCTCAGGCTCCTGCAGGTCTCCCAGCTGAAGAGGCCGGCTGCCGAGCCGCGTCATTGTTGCTCCCTTTCTTGGGGAACAGTATTATTAGGATTCTCTTTAAAATGTCCTCCTCTCCGCATGGACACATCCGCACACACGTGAGCACATGAGCATGAGTGCACGCCTGTGCAAGGGCGGCAGACACACACAGCTTGCCTGACCTTGCTCAGAAGCCAAGGACACGCGCTCTGGGAGAGCGGCTCCAAGCCAGCGTGTCCTCTGGATGACTGAAGACGGTTCTCTTTCCCCACCAGCCACAGGCTGTGCGGCTCCCAGCATGCTGGCCTCTCAGCAGCAGCCGCGTGTCCCCTCCCCTGGCCAGGCTGCTCTCAGGTGTCCTTCCTGCTCCCCCAACTCGGGGTGTAGGAGAGGTGTCCAGGAGCACTTCCACCCTGGCATTGTGAGAGGGCTTGGAACCAGGCCAGCCAGGTCCTCTGGTCACCCCTTCCCAATGGGTCTGGGTAAATAGAGCCACCTCTCTGCTTTTCCAGAGGAAAACAAAATCTTCTTGCTCTTCTTCACCAGGGGCTGGGGGCCAAGAAACACAGGCAGGGGCCTTGCCAAAGTTGACAGCATGGCGCCCTGTGTCCAGGGGCAGGAAGAAGTCCCCAGGTGGGGTTCTGTGGAGGAAGGTGGGGTGTGGGTACCCTGACCAAGGCAGAAAGGGCCCCCCATGGCCTGTTGGTTTCTCCTGGAGAGTGGACTCCTTCCGCTCCTGGGAGGTAGATTCTCACATTGCAGTGATCTTGCTGGAGTTGCAGGGTAGGGAGCTCCCTGTGAGTGCAGCTGTGTTAGCGTTTACTGGTCAGGTGTTGGGGTATCTTCAGGGATGGGTCATAATAGAGTTGGGTTGGATTCACTTAAGAGGCTGCCCAAACCCTTCCTTTCAAAGGTCAAGGCCCCAGTGGCCAGAACCTAGCGGGTCTTACTGTGCCCCAAATGCCCACATCATTCTCCTCCTGGACTGGGCTGAGCAGATGCGAGGACCAGGACATCTGAATGGTGCAGAGGAGAGTGGAATTCCCACCTTCTTTCCCCCAGAGGGCAAGTGCTGCCCAGCTTCTGCCCCATGCAAGTCTCAGAGCCACGGGAGGCAGAGCCCCTGCGGTGGGTCCATCAGGGAGAGTGCAGGGGTACTGCCTCCAGAGGCGGACTGCTGGGTGCTCAGTGGTTGTTATTACCTCGTTGCCTGTTTCCTTATCTGTAAAACAGCAGGGCTCACGACAGCGTCTTCCCCATAAGGCTTCTGTGAGCAGTGAGTGAGGAGGTCACCTGGACAGCACTCAGCACAGGACTTGGCGCTTCTAACTGCTTGGCAAAGTTACCCATGCATGTTTGTCCATCCGTCCACACCTCATCTGCCTTCTCTGGCCTGGGCACTGTGGGCTCACATGACCCTGCTGCCCTTTGGCTGCTTGGTGATTGCTGTCGTGACGGAGGGTGCCCAGGGGCTGTGGGGGGGTGTGTAGAGGATGGAGCTGGGGATACTGATGAGGTGACAGTGAGAGAAGCACAGGTATCCAGGCAGAGGGGAACAGCACGGGCAGTGCCCTCGACAGCCAGGTGCACTCTGGGGAAGGGACAGGCTCTGTGTAGGTGTGACACGAGGCCCACAGAAGGGCATCATGGGTGCTGAGTTTCAGCAGCAGCAGAAGTGGGCACCACAGTGCTCAGGTCACAGGGTTACCATGGAGACTCTGAGTTCTCACAAGGACCATGGAAGGCACACAGGAAGGGGTCTCTGTCTGCCCCAGGATGGTCGCAGATGTGTGTGGCAGAAAGAATCTTCAACTGTCACCTGCACTGTAGGGGTGACCCTGGCATTGTGGACTCCAGCACCCCCAGTCCTCTTCTTAGGGCTCCCACTGGGGCTAGAAGACAGAACCTTGTGCTCCGGGCCTCCCTCCTGGAAGCCTGTGCCCATGTGGCCTCTGGGCCACCAGGGGAGGCAGCAGCGCAGATCTCCTGGGCCTGGGTGAAGGGGAGTGAGTGAAGGGACTGTCACCAGCCAGCCTTCCTGCTGAGTGCTGGCCCCGGGGAGCAGGAGCACCAGGGAAGAGGGCGGCTGCCATGCCAACCTCTTCCCAGTGGCACCAGGCACCGTGTCTGAGCCAGCACTGACTCAGGCCAACAGCCTTCAGCGACACCCATCTCTCTCCCTCCCCATCTTTTCTTTCTTCCCCTCTTTCAATCTCACATCCTCCTCCTCTTTCTGATTCCTGTGTCCTCATCTTTTATTGAAGCCACTCGTGGGTTTAGGCACCCAGAGGTGAGCTGTCACTACTGCTGACTCATCGGTCTGTCATGGAACTCTCCCCAGAGTCCCCACCCTTCCCCACCAGAGATTAAGGCTGAGGCCCAAGTGCAAATGGTTTCAGGGCTCAGCAGGTGAATTAAGGAAGACAGCAGGGGGCTGTGGGCGTGGTGGCAGGATTAGAGGGGCTGCTCCAGCGCTGGCCTGGCTGTTGCCCAGCGGTTGTCAGAGCGCCTGGTTTTTCCAGAGCAGCTGGACAGCTGGACTTTGTGTGGGTACAAGGACGCTGAAAGGGATTATCCCACAGCCTGAGAATTGTGGCTGAGGCCAAAGCTGGGCCAATGATCTGCCACCTGCTGGGGTCAGACCTCGCATCCCCCTCCCCTCCCCCAGAGCTTACTAAATCACTCACCAGAGATGGGGGTACCCTCAAGTGGGGGCTGGCCTCTACCTCCCCACAGCCAACTGAGGGTCACCCATCCAAGCATCCCTCGTTCTTTCTTTTGACAAAGATTTGAGCAGCTACTTTGTGCCGGGTTTTGGAGATCAGCAACAGATGGAAACACAGGGAGAGAACTCCCAGAGGGCTCCAGCTGCGTCTTCTGCAGCCCCGGGTGTTTGCAAATACAGAAACAAAGTCTGTTCTGACCTGGAGGATTCCTGGGGTGGGAGGCCCAGGGGAGGGGCTCTGGCTGGCTTGAAGGCAGGCTGGTGTGGTCAGTGGGGAAGGTAGTCCTGCACTCCCTCCTGGAGTTCAGAGGCCCTGGAAGGGAAGTGGACGACTCTATTGTTCTGGGGACCCAAGTGTTGATACAGGTAGGTGACAGGAGGCTGGAAGCTGTGGCATGCACAGGTGACTGTACCCAGCTGCAGGGCTGTGAGCCTCTGGCCAACTGGACGGAGACCTCCAGGCCTCTCTGAGGGTCCAGGGAGAGGCTCTTGCCCAGTATGCAGTCAGCCCCCTGGAGACCCAGCGGCAAAACAGAACTTCCTCTCCCCAAGTCCAAAAAACTAGTAGGAATGAAAAGACACGTGGCTTTTGTCCCTCCTCATCCCTATCTGCCACCCTGGAGGAGCTAGGATCCCGAAGAGGTCAGAGGGGACCTCTTGGAACCAGATGAGTCAGAAAGGTTGCCTGAACTGTATTTTAAATTAAAGGGACCAGTTAGCTATTGGTTGAGCCCTAGGTGTCAAGATGGAAGTGGGATTTCACAGCACTCGGTTGGATGGAAAGAATACACTGCGGGTTCGTTCCCTGGACCGAAACTTCACACATTAAACAGTTCACTTCTTAAACAACACACAGTGCTCTTTCTGTGCCAGGCCCTCTTCTTTGTCTGTACATCTTTCATCTCATCTACACTTCACGACATCACCTCCAGATTACAGATGAGGAAGCTTTGGCACAGGTGGGTTGTGACTTGTCAAAGGTCACACCCCTGATGAACATCAGTCACAACTCAAAATCGACTAATATGCCATCATGCATCTTAATAACACACAGGCCAGTCGGAGCAGGTTTGTGGCAGATCTGGGCTGTGGCTGCCACTCGGAGGCCTGTGGTCTATCTTAATTAGGAAGCCCTGTGCGGGGTACTGCTGGGCAGGCCCGCGGCCCACTCAGAACCATGGAGTCTCACATGGGCAGGCTCTGGGAGTCAAGCCCACCCTTACCTCCACTGTACAGATGGAGCCACAGGGACAGGAGCTTGGAGTCACCATGGCTCAAGCCTCCTGCCCACCTGACCATTGTCGTGGGAACAAGAAGGGGAAGGATGAAACTGCTCCTGCAGGTGTATCCGAAGGGGAGAGAAAGGGAGGGCTCTAAACTGGAGGCAGGACTAGTAGGCGCAGTCCCCTCCTCTGGGGGATGTCTGCCTGTCACCAGAAGTGGGCCATCTTATCGGGGCATGGACAGTTTGGCTTAACTTGGTCCAAAGGCCTCCCAGGCTTCATGGGTGGTGGGTGCTGACCAGGGTGCTGAAGCAGTACAGCACTTCCTAACAGCCCAGGGAGGGAGAGGGAGGCGACTGGGAAGAGGACCCTTCTATTTTTGTTACACTAACTATTTTGGCCAGTGTTTCCTGGGGATTTCTTGGATTTGAAGCCAGGATTTCTATGGTCTTTGTGGCCCTGGGAAAGTCATTGTCCCTCATCTGCTCTGCACATGTCCTATCACCTGTTCATGAACAAAAGTAGCTTCCATCTCACTAAACTTGGAAGGCCAAGGAGAGCACTCCCTGGGGCCAGGTGATGGGACCTGCACAGAGCCCAGGCCCAGCCCTGGGGCCCAGGAAGGCACTCAGGAGCTCTCTCTCTCAGTGGCTTCTGGGACCCATTGCCTCCCCTGTGGCTCTGAGGTCGTGCCGGGTGGTTTCAGGCGCTCCTTTCTAACCCTGTTGCCCTGGGCCCTGTGGCTAGAGGTGGCAGTCCTTAGGAACATGAGGAACACTTTGCAGACAGGACCAATTTCAAAGTCTAGATTCTCCTGGGGATTACGTGACACCTTTCTGTGCTCACACAAGTCCTGACTGGGCTTTCCCGTTTCTGGAATGGGTTTTCCCTGGGGCCCTGTCCTTTTCTGGTTGTGAGGTCTGGGCATGGCAGAAGAGCACTGGCTTTAGAATCAGGCCAACCAGATGTGCCAGCCCTCAGGAGCATGCCTCCGAGGATGCTGACCACGTGTTCCTTGAGTTTGTGGAGAGCATTACATGAGATGGGAAACCAGCATACTCTGGGTGCCTGATAAACACCTGCTTCCTGCACGGGGCGTGGGGGGTGCAGCTGTCTTCTCTTGAGCCCCATTTCGCCTACCGTATAACCGCAGCAGCAGCTGACACCCACCGAGCACCCTGAAACCTGCTAATAAGACACAATTGGTGGGACCCTGCACCAATTCTGCAGGAAGGGGCAATGATGCAGATTCTGCAGATGAGGGAGCTGCACATGGTGAAAGGGGGTTCTGGGAGTCACACCCTCACCTGCCTGATTCTGAGACCCCTGTCTGGCCTTGAGCAATTATCAGACCTTTCCAAACCCTCATTTTCTGGACTAGAACATGGGAATATCTCATCATTATCATGATTGGAAAGTGTAGTGCATGCTGGGTGCTGAAATATTTAAAAACATACTTGAAATGCATTGGTATGACCCACAGGATAAGGGATGAATGGATACTGGGGTTACTTGCGTGCATTAATCCTTACGTGCCATCAATCAAGAAGACTGAGTGACTCAATTCTTTACATGTGATATCCAGAGGAAGGAAAAGAACAAAAGTTTGTACACTTGAGTTTCTTAAACTTTAGTGTGCATATGAATCACATGGAGGACTTGTTAAAATGCAGATCCTCATTGAGTCTGGGGTGAGGCCCGAAATGCTAAACTTCTAACAAGTTCTCAGGAAATGTCGTCTCTGCTGCTGCTTAGTAGTAAGGATGTAGACAGTCTTTCGGTCCTAGTTCTCAAACTTGCATGATCCCATGAATCACAAGAGGATTTGTGGTTAAAAAAAAAAAAAAACAGATTTGAAGGCCCTCCTTTGGTGGTGTGGATGGGGACTCTGGGTGTAAGTGTACTTCGAACAAAGGTCTCAGGAGACAGGCTTGGGCAAGCAAGGTTGTAGTCCCCATTTATGTCACGGCCTGTGCTGATGATCACAGGAGGTTGGCTCACCAGACATTTGTCCCAGTTTCATCTTCCAGAATGCAGAGGTGGGAAGAGAGAGCAGGGGCATTTTCCTAGGATCCCTTGCTGTTAGGGTCTGAGAGGTGAAGTAGGTTCCAACAACCAGATGCATTCATTCAATTGAGCCTTGAGCTTGGAACTGAGCTGAGTGGGGCTGAGGTGGTAGTAGGAAGGCTACCCACTTTCTGGTGCAGATGGAGGTGGTGGTTGTGTGGCTCTGGAGTTCCCACTCTTCAGATAAAGGCAATGATGATGTGATCCTGCTGCTTTCTGGCCCCAACCTTTGGGTTAAAAAGCTAAATTGCTTATGCAGCTGAAACCCAGGACCAGCACTTGAGCAGGACCCTCCTACTCCCTGTCCCTCTGAACCCCGCGGCTCACCTGTAACAAAACCATCTGTGTGGCCACCCAGGGTCTTGCTAGACTGCCATCAGCAGGTGTTCTCTAAGCACCTCCCACCAGCGCTGGCTGCTGCCAGAGGGTGCTCCTACTTCCTGTCGTTGCTGCTTCTGGCTCTGCAGTGTCTGTCATCAGTCACCAGGACCTTGCCACCCTTCACTGCCCGCCCTTGCCTTCTGACCCTCTTCAGGGCCACGCCCAGTGTGAGTGCCTTGTGAGATCCCAAGGGCAAACAAAGCCTGGGGATGGGATCCTGCAGGCAAGTCTCTGCTCTGGAGCAAAAAAGTTGAAGTGGCCTCTAGGCGTGCACCTCCGACTGACTCTGACGCAGAGAAGGCTGGGGGTACACATGGGGAATCTCTCCTCTCCTTGATCATGGGACCTGTCTTTATTGGAACTGCACCAAAGTGCGACAAGACCAGGGAAGAGAGTAGGAACTGCTCCAGATTCTAATTTCCGCCTGTGAAGAGAAGCATGGATCAAAGAAACTGTCATTAAGGACAACAGAAAGAGAGGCAGGAGGGAAGCTGGTTCCAGTGAGGCTGAGTGGGACTTCCTGCCCATTCCCTAATGCGCCACCAGTGCGGCCATCTGCGCTTTGAGCATGGTATACTGTTGGGGTTGAGGCCTTAATAAACTCATGACTTTCAGTGGAGAATGGCAGAGTCTCAGGCCCAAGCAGGCAACGACAAGGAGAAACAGGGCCAGCTCCAGGAACTCGGGAGGAGAGAGGCCAAGGAAGAGCAGGGCCATGGGCTGATGCAGCCTACAAACAGGATCAGTGGTGTGGCACTTGCACACCAAAGCGGATGATTTGGAACCAGACTTTTATTCTAGGGATCAACTATGAAATTTCAAGCAAAAGTGATGGTGTCAATCACTAGATCTGAAAAGGTCACAGGAACTTCCCTAGAGAAAGGACCTGTCCTGTGTCATGTCCATCCTGGAACCATCCCCCAAAGTCAAATCCAACTCCTCTGTCTCACCAGCTGCGGTCATCCCGCGTGGCTATTATCAAAGCCATGGTTTGCTCCCCAAAGGTGAGTGGCTCTGGGCCCTGCCTTGCTTGGGTTGGGTCAAAATGTTCTGTTTTAAAAAACACAGAAGACAAACCATGAGATCCAACTTGACACCCATTAGGATGGCTACCAGCAGGTAGATGAAGAATAACAAGTACTGGCGAGGATACGGAGGAACTGGGACGGTCATTCATTCACGTTGGAAATGTGAAATGATGGGCTGCTGTGGAAGACATCTGGCAATTCTCAAAAAGTTTAACACAGTGTTGCAGGTGGTCCAGAATGCCACCCCTGGGTATAGGCCCAAATGCACTGAGGACAGCTGCCTGCACAAAAACTGTACGCTAGCCTTAATAGCAGCATCATTCCTAATAGCCAAAAAGTAGAAGCAGCCCAACTGTCCGTCTCCCGGCAGACAGAATGTGATATATCTTCACAATGATTATTCAGCCATAAACAGGAACGAAGTTCCGATACGTATCACGACACGAATAGGTCTTCAAACACTGTGCTACATGAAAGAAGCCGGACACAAAAGGCCACATGTTGAGTGACTCTACTTATGAGAATTGTCCAGAAAAGGCAAGTCTTTAGAGACAGAAGATAAACTAGTGGTTGCCTGGTACTGGGAGGGAGGAAATGGGGGTGACTGCTAAAGTTTATGGGGCCTGGGGGGTGGTAATGGTGAAAATATTCAGGAATTAGATACGGCGATGATACGCACTGTGAATATACTACAGCCCACTGACCTTGGAAAGGGTAAACTTTGGGGGTATGTGAATTCTCAATAAAGCTGTTATTTAAAAAAAAATAAAGAGGAACAGGTTATTATTAATGGCTGATGTTTATTGTTCAGGTTCCAATTTTGGAGGTTCTGTAAGATACACACTGAAACATTCCCATTTGCTCCGTGTGGGTTTCCCATGGTTAGAAGAGTGGCCCAGAACAGAACAAGCCCAAAAGCTTGACTAGGAAGTTCCTCACGGTCCCGTTCACTCCCCCCACATGACATCTAGGACACTGTCTGGGAGATCCACACTAAATGGCTAGTTCTGTAGATGAATCACTAAATTTTCTCTTTTTAGAAAACAGAATTATGTACATTATTAAAAAATGGCAAATTTGTTTTAAATTTATCTTTTCCTTGAATCAGGGCCCTAAGTTATCTACCTTCCCTGTGTCTGATGTCCCTTTAAATGCTTCTCTCAATAATTGCTGCTTTTTTTTTTTTTTTTTTTTTTTGGTACCAGGAATTGAACCCAGGAGCACTTAACCGCTGAGCCACATCCCCAGCCCTTTTTCCTATTTTATTTAGAGACAGGGCCTCACCAAGTTTAGAGCCTTGCTAAGTTGCTGAGGCTGGTATGAACTCACAATCCTCCTGCCTCAAGCCTCCCAAGCTGCTGTAAAGGCGTGTGCCACCACACCTGGAGCTGTTGTAGGGTTTTTTTGGGGGTTCCGGGGATTGAATTAGAGGCACTCGACCACTGAGCCACATCCCCAGCCCTATTTTGTATTTTATTTAGAGACAGCATCTCACTGAGTTGCTGGGGTTCCCTGCTCCTCCCAAAGTTTGAGGCCACATTTGGATGGAGCCCATTCTCCTATGCTCTTGTGATCCTCCTGCCTCAGCCTCCTGAGCCGCTGGGATTATTACATGTGCCACCATGCCTGGTGCTGTTGTAGTTTTATGAGCAAAGTGCTCCAAGCCCCTTGGTTGCAGGTATGGTCCAATTCCAAAACAAAAACGAACATTCCAGTCTGCCAACCCTAAGGAAGACTATGAGCAATGATGGTGGTTACATCTTTGCCTGATGCCTGGGTCTTTCCTCATAGCGGAGATGTTTTAAAGACTTCAAAGTGGTCAGCTCCCTGTCTCTGGGGTCTTTTACTATGTCAATGCGTATAGTGGGGCTTGCTGGAAATACCAGGGTACCTGCTCATGCAAGCCTGCCCCCCCAGGCCAGCCTCTACCTCGACCTGAGGCTGGCCCTCCTGTGCTGGTCAGTGGTTTACCCTATGCATTTTGGGGCTAAGCAGACAGACAGGGAATCTTAGGCCACAAAATCCAGCCTAGCTGACACCTCAGAAAAGCTACAGTGTCCAGCTGCTGTCTACAGGGGAATGACATGTCCTAATTTAGGGAAAGCGACCCAGGCATGTTGAAATACTGTCTGCACAAAGTGCACAGGGCCTTGACTTCGCGCCTCCGCCTGTGCTCTCTGGTGCTCTTCCCACCGCAGCACTGGCCTCAGCCCCGCACACGCCCGTCGGGCTCCAGCTTCAGAGGAGCTGGCGAAGGGCAGAGGTCAGGAGGGCCAGACACAGGACACAGCACACAGCTTCCGGAGGCTGGGGCTCCCTGCTCCTCCCAAAGTTTGAGGCCACGTTTGGATGGAGTCCATTCTCCTATGCTTTGTCTAGGTCCCCAGAGGGACAAATAACGCCATTACAGATGCCACACAGACCTTGAGTTTTCACTCTTTTCCTCTGCCCAATCCTAGGGGTTGTGGCCACTCATGGGAAGACCCACCAGAATATCGGAGAGCAGGAAAGGCACCTCCAATTTCACAGGTGGGGACAAAGCCCTAAAGAAGGGACTTCCTTCCGATCACTCAGTAAGTTATGGGGCAAAATGTGATTAAATTCTGTTTATTCCTCTGCTTATAGGCCACTGCTGTCCAGGCCCAGGCGATCCAGAGGGTTGGCCCAGAACAGGAATGGCCAGGAGATTTTGCTCTCATCACAATGGTACAGTCTTTGCACAACGTGCCTGTCCTTGTGAGAGTCATCCTTGTGACCTATGGGAACTACAGTCACTCACTGCCATCCATGTAGCTAGATTCATCTCAGTAACGTCAGGAGCAACAGTGACATGAAAGGGGAGGTCGGGAAGAATGGGTTCAGATGGGAGGAGCTATTCAGTCCTATAGTCTCAGAGCCTAAATTCTCAAAACTGGAAGGAGCTATGCATTAATGTAGAAAGAAAATTGGGAGACTGGCAACACGGACTCTGTATTGACATTTGGTTCTCAATAATAACATCCAAAATGCGTTCTGTTCTTATAGCATCAGGTGGAGGGTGTATGTTGCCTGAGTCTCTCTCGTGGTGGGAGAGACACGCTGATTTCTCTTTGGGACCTATGTGCAGCCAGGTGGAGGGCTGCTGTACCTTGGCTCTGATAAGGGTCGGGGAGGCAATCCCAGCCAGCCTGCAAACACATGGGCAGAGTCCCTTGCCCCGAGCCCGCAAGAACACGGTTGCTGGTGGGGCCGGCGATGGCAGCTCCAGGAGAGTGGAGAGGAGGCTGGGATGTTACATTCTTGAGGCCTTCACAGGTACATGTCATCAAAGCCCGGCGGGGGGAGATGGTCTGGGTTCGGTCTGAAATGGAAAGAGGGGCTGGTGAGTTAGAGGGAGGGAGGGCCAAGGCCACACACCCCTCGCCTGCGTGCTCTCCAGAGAGGCTGGTGGCTGTGGAGTTGAAGAGCGTGCACTTTACAGCCAGCAGCCTCCATTTCCATCCTGGCTCTCCTACGCTGGCTAAGTTAACCGAGCCCTGGGGTCTCAACTCTCACATCTATAGAGAGGACAGTACTCTCCACTGCCACAACGGCAGTGAGCTCCAGGCACATGTCGAACTGCACTACGTGTTAGTTCCTCCTGCACCCTGACAGCTCCCTGGAGAGAAGGGAGGCACAGAGGCACAGAGGGACGGTAACTCCTGGAGGCTCCCGGAAGGCAGCGGGCAGGGCCTGGAGGAGAGCCCACACTCCTGGCAGCAGCAGCGGGGGTAGTGGCAATCCTGCTGGCGGCAATCCTGCAATGCTGAGCTGGGCTAAGCTGCCGTGAGGTCGATTCTCAGCACATACTTACCCAGATGGGCTGGTCCCAATGGGCCCAAAGGGGTCAAAGCGAGCTCCTGGGGGCACAGCGCCTGGAGGAAGATGGTTTGGGAGGCCTGACGATGGGTCAATAAGAGCTCTCGGGAAACCAGATCTCAGGGGATCCACAACCATGCCACCTCTCCGACACCTGAGGCAGAAAGGACAAAGGTAAGCAGCTGAGGAAGGGACCGCCATTGGCACAGAGCCAGGAGGGCCAGAATGGACGAGGATGACTGGGAGGTCTACTCCAGGTGCCCCAGAAGGCCGTGCCAGTCAGAAGAAAGCAGGCAAAAGCAAGCCCACAAAGAGCACCTCTGCCCTGCGGAGGGGCTGGTGACAGTGCAGGAAGATGCGGAAGGCTCCCTATCCCTGCCTGTCTGTATCCCGGGGTCACCGTGATCGAAAATGGGAGAACTCGCCAGTTGGTGCACAGCTGTCTGCACAGGCTCTGGGAGGCACTCCCCAAGGTCTAGGGCTAACCGGAGCATTGAGACGATTCACCAAGCTGGGTTTCCCACCACATCCCTGAGAGCCACATGGCAATTTCTCACTGCCTGTGTGCTGCCCGAGTCCAGCTCCTGATGGCACCTGCCCTCGCGGAGTTCTGCAGACATGACCTCAAGTGCTCAAATGAGGATGAATGAGCTAGTGCTCCTTAATCCTGCAGTCACATCTGAGTGGCACTGCAGAGTTCCATGATCTCCCTACTCTCCAGCAGCAGGATGACAAAGATGAAGGCACCTTTCTGTGAGGTTAAGAGCTAGTCTCAATCATGCAGAGGATGGAGCCTGGCTGGGGCGTGATAACTCTGCTGGGTGCAAGGCGACCCACACAGAATCTAACGGGGCCCAGAGACTTCCCTTCCGCATGGAGGTGCCGTCCCCGTAGCCCTGAGCACCTAAGGTTTGGGCCCCAACGGTGCTTAACCCAGATCTGAAAGACCCTGTGTAGCTGGCATCCAAGGGAAGGCTACTGTCCCCCACCAGGTGCAGGGGACAGAGGGAGGACAGAAGAGCTGCCTGCTGGGCTTGCCCCATCCTCTCAGGCACTCAGGCCCTGCTGCAGCTCTGGGTTGGAGAGCACCCTAAGTGGCAGTGCCTTCTCAGCTGCCTGGCAGCAACTGCCTCCTTCACCCCGAAGGAGAGACTGATGAAAAGTTCTAAGATTAGAAGATGAGCTGGGGCTCAAAGCCACAAGAGCAACTGACGCTGCTGCCACCTCCCGAGTGGTACTCACCCAAAAGGGTCTAGGTCTTCTCCCCCGACAGCAAATGGGCCCAGGGGATCACACCTGAAACAAACAAGGGACAATTAGCACAAGTCCCAGATCAGCCAGGTGCCTGGGCTCCCAGGGTCCTGACCCTGATGCTTTTGGGTCTGCAAATGCATTCCTATCCCCAGGGGACAGGGGCGACACCTGCATAAGACCACAAGACGAGATATTTCAAAGTGGTCCCTGGCACAGATTGACACCAACCATTATCACAAGACCACTATGTGCGAAGAGCTGAACAAAAGCCGGCAACATGGAGGATCCCAGTTCATTTTTTCCCCCCCTTTTGCTATCCTGGGAATTGAACTCAAGGGTGCTTTACCATTGAACTACACCCCAAGCCTTTTGATTTTAAGACAGGGTCTTGGTAAGTTGCCCAATCTGGCCTTGAACTTGAGATATCCTCTTGCCCCAGCCTCCCAAATAACTGTGAAAAAGTGTGCACTGCCAAACCCAGCCAGGATCTTAGTTCTAGGTAAAGATATATTTTAACAGGGGCGACCTCCAGATACACTATTTTATCCACACCTTCTTCAAGTTTTTAAACTTTGTATAAAGAACCAAGAACTTTTACACCAGAAAAATATTGCTCAAAAACCAAACACTAAAATCACAAAGTTAAGACTGAAGAGCTTCCCAGGTGGAGAGAGAGGGCAGCACAGTCCCAAGCCACACACTGTGTCTCAGCCTTCTCTCCATCACTGCCCTTGCGTGGAGCTTCAGTGCCCCGTGTGCTGCGGGCCTGCTCTGCGCCCTCCCCACAGGAGAAGCACAGCCTACAAACCTCTCCCCTCTTCCTTGGAGGAAGCAAGGTACTGACTTCCTCCTTCTCTGAGAGTGCGTGATGAAGTGGAGCAGAAATGAGGGGACACTTTCTTAGAGCAACCCCGCAGCACCTCTACCCACACACAAAATGGCATCCCTCTTTCACTGTCGTACATAGCTTCACATTCTTTGATACAATAATTTTACACCTAGGTGTCCCCCTTGAGGAAGGAATAAGCATTCACGTTAAAATGCATCCATGAAGACCTCCATCAGGGAAACTGGAATCGGCCTCCCTGGGGACCAGTTAGGTCCAGCACCGTCTATCCCTATATGCAGGATGGAAACAAGAGAAACAATGTTCCCAGAATGCTTTAAAAATTATGTAGAAAATGCTCATGCTCGAGGCCCAAGTGTGGGGGGAGAGATCATCCAGAGCCCAGGGAACAACTGAGAAAAGTGCGTGGGGGTGGGGAGGGGACGACAGGTGTGAATAAAACTAGAGAGGAGCGTGCTGCAAGTGTGAGCAGTGGCACTCGCTCTGGGGGTCAGGTTCTTCTTTATATCTCCCATAAAGGATATGAAGATGAATGTAATAAAGCAAAAAAGGTTTAGTATTTTAAAATGCGTGCTTTGGAGGCTGCTCAGAGCCCTGGTGAGCAACACAAACCTGACGCTCTGGGGCCAGTGGGTTCCTGCCAGAACTGGAAAGCTGGCCAACGGCAGCTGATCTAAGCTTACAGGTAAGAAGCCACTAACTAGAGAAGAAATCCAAAATGCTTCTCCAGTCAGCTCCACCCAGAGGGCTGGAGAGGATACGGAAGTCTGGGTGGAACAGGGCCAGGATTCCAAGGAAAGGAACCCTTCCTGACCCAGGTTACTACCCCCCCAGCCAGGGCTCATGGAGCCGGAAGTCATGGTTTCTGGTGGCCTCCAACATCATGGGCCTCTCTGAGGACAGGCCAGGTGGTGCCTGTGGGCAGCAAGCATCTTATCTAGCTCCACAAAGTGCCCACTATAGGGCAGCGGACACAGGGCTCTGGGTGGTTGTTAAAATGCCTGGGGAAAGAGTCTGACTGTTCCTGAAATAGGAAGCCATTTTCATTTTTCTCTGACCACAGAGAATGAAAAACGCAGAAACAGAACAAGGAAGGCTGGAGGGGCAGCCACGAGGCCCACTGCAGCCATCTGCACACTCAAAATTGTCACAACATATTCTGTTCACAACAGTCTCACTGCAACACACGCACACTTCTGGGAACTCACGGTGCGTGTGCTTAGAACCCATTGGAAATAAATGGCACCCAGGATCCCTCTTCCTCTCCACAGCTCTTTTGGCCAAATCATGGTCCTAGGTATGCTGACTGAGACTCTAGGGATTTAAGTTTTTTTTCTCTCTCTCTCTTTTTTTTTTTTTGTATATGGTCCTTGAGCTCAATCCCTGGCTCCACCATCCGGAAATCAACTGAAGGACGGAGGAAACTAGCCACTGAGGAATGGCGAGGTCCTCTGGGGCAGGATGTCCTGGCTGCCAAAGCGGCCCCTCTCCTCAGGGAGTGGGTGGGGGGTGATCTGGAAGACACAGATTCCCTCCCAAGGAGCAGCCCTTTTATATCAAAAGAATAAGCCTCCCTTGGGCATGAAAGTTCAGCTGAAAGGACTAAGGACTGGGAGCAAGAAGTATGTTCTGGACTTTGGGTTTGGCCAGCAGAAGCCTGTCACAAAACCTCTGTATTTTAAAATACAAAATCTAGCAGTGCACAGAGGCCGCCATGACAGTGAGCCTCGGTTTCTGGTTGGCAGGAAAGGCCTACGAGGATGGGCTAACAGCGGTCCTGCTATTTACTGTGAGCTTGTGTCAGATCCTGTGTTATTAGTTTTTTAAAATTTAGTTTCTGAAAGATGGATTGTTCAGATTCAGTTTTCTGAATAGGTAATGCATTCCCCAGTTTCAAAATTCATGAATAAAAAAGGATACAAAGGTTCATCATTTTGGGTCAGATGTTTTGAAATTCATAATTTTTCCCTGTATTTTGGAAAGGTCAGATGGGAATACCAACATATTTTGTTTATTACTTCTAAGAAGGGCCCTGTAACCAATATGCTAATATTTGTCCAAAATGAATGAATGAATATTTACATTTAAGTGGGATTACTGAAGATATAAAGAATTTCATCCACTTCAGGTTAGGTTTTGCCATCGGTAAGGGTTTTTTTTTAATACTTATTTTTTAGTTTTTAGGTGGACACAATATCTTTATTTTATATTATATGGTACTGAAAATTGAACTCAGTGCCTCATGCATGCTAGGTGAGCGCTCTACCACTGAGCCACAACCCCAACCCCATCAGTAAGTTTTGATACCAAGCAAAATAAACTTTTTTGATTTCAAAATTGTGGACAAGAGATTATGGATCTGTAATAACTAAAATTCTCCCTCTTACTCTTGTCCCCCAGCCCACCCAGACAATACCAGTTTCTTATATGTTCTTCCAAAGATACTCTGCATCTCTGCAAATATGCATCTCTGCTACTTTTGAAACAAACCAATGTGCCGAGTTCCCCGTACACATAGTCCCGTCCTCACTGCAGCCCTGACTGAACCTAGTTATTTTTCGTATTTTATACATGAAGCTCAGAGGGGCCAGGTTTCCTGCACAAGGCCACAGATACTAGTAAATGGCAGATAGGATTCACCCTTGAACTGCCCACCTCAAAAGCCCAAAATCTTTTAATGGGGTGTGTTGAGACTAGTTACCCTTCATGTAATTATTATTATGTTCAGATTTAGATTTAGCATTTTATTATTGGTTTTCCAATCGTTCCCTTTATACTCCCATTTCCTCTTTCTTGTAATTACTTCATTTTGTTTTTGACTATTTCTTTTTTTAAATTTTGTTTTAGTTGTAGATGGACACAATATCTTTATTTTGTTTACTTTTATGTGTGCTGAGGATCAAACCCAGGGCCTCACACATGCTAGGCGAGCACTCACCCACTGAGCCCCAGCCCCTTGTCTATTTCTTTTTTTGTGCAGTTCTTTTTTTTAGTGGTTTCTCAGAAAGATTTCAATATACATAACTTTTCACAGTATACTTAAAAATAACATCTTACCATTTCAAGTGGAATGCAGAAACTTCACCAGTGCACACGTCCTCCATTTGCCATCTCTATCTCACCGCTGTCATATACTATATTACTCTGAAAACCCTATCCCAGAATATCATTAATGTTTGCTTTCAACTATAAAACACACCTTAGAGAGCTCAAGAGAACATTCTATTATATCACCCAGTTATTTTCCGTTTCTATTGCTCTGGCTTTATTTCTGACGGCCTGTTTCCATCCAGTGCCATTTCTTTCTGTCTGAAGAGTTTCCCTTTACAATTCTTTTTGTTCTCATTTTCATTTCATTGAGACAATCTTAATATCCTTCAGAAATGAAGGCAAACTAGTCACAATGGATATCGAATTCTGGATTAACAATTCGCTTTTTCTCAACACTGTAAGAATATTGTTTTACTTTTTGTAATCTCCATGGTTTATGATAAGAAATTAATAATCAAATTCTTATTTCCTGTGATTAATATACTGGTTTTCTCTAGTTGTGTTCAAGGTATTTGCCTTTACTTTTCCGCAGTCTGTGACATGTGACATCCTAGGCATGGACTTCTTCAGCTTTATCCTACTTATAATTTGCCAAGCTTTTAAGATCATTGGTTGATTTCCTTTGCTAAGCGGAGGTTGTCAGCCACGATTTTCTTTATGTATTTCTCTCTGCTGCACTCTTTCTGTGCTCCTTCTAGGACTCTAATGGCCCTAATGTGAGACCTTTTATAATCGTCTCATAGGTTTTCCCAGACTTTTAAAAATTTTTCTCTGTTGTTCAGTTCTTAGTTTTTACCGCTCTATCTTTAAATTAATAGACTCAAGTCAAATCGATTCATCCAATAATGGAGTAATTTTGTTGTATTTTTCAGTCCTAAAATGCCCACTTCATTCTTCTTTATATCTTCTATTTGCCTTTGTCTTTCTATCCATCATTCATTTCAAGACTATGTACCTTCCCGTCTTGTAGTATTTTTATAATAGCTGCTTTAAAGTCTTTGTCAAATAATTCTAACATGTGTGTCATCTTGGTATTGGCATCTGTTGACCGTCTTTTTGTGAGCTGAAATTTTCTTGGTTTTTTTACGCCCAGTAATTTTGGACTTTATCCCAGACATGGTGAACATTTTGCTATGAAAGGAAG